TGTGGGTGTGTCTTTCTGCTTGAGATACAGCAGGTGTCAGAAGTTTTGCTCCAAAACCCCTGGAAAGTGCAAGCATGTTGCCATGACAACATATTTGCACAACTTAAGGGAGTATCGCTCTTCAAGGTTCCCCATCGCTCCACACAGGAAACCACACATTTTTCAAAGTAACGGCAGCCGAATACAACATCTCTACATACCATCTTTTGACCCTTGCCCAAATGATTTCACATAATACATGGGGATATAACAAAAAGTGAGGCGTGCTTGAAACCTTGAAAAATCAACCCAAATTTAAACTGTTAGGGCACCCCCTATTTGAAGACATTCCCCTAAAGCATAATTATAATATATATATATATATGTATGTAATATTCAAACATGCTATCTGTTCATATTCTACCTAGGTATGATTTTAAAGAATGTTACATCCTTATTTCTTTCATTTAGATGAACATGAAACTGCCCTAGGTCAAAACCTGTTTGCGAATAGGCTGGCATCTAAAGCTGTGATTTGCCAATTATGATGTTGTGTACTTATGAATCAATGATATTCCTTACTTGCGACGGCCACCATCGAATAAACCAGGCAACAGTCATTCAGATGACGTTACAAAGTTACACCCAGGAGGAATACCATAAGATCATAAAGTGGTTTTTGGTATTAAGCCCCAACCGGATACCCCAAACAGCATGGGTAACTGTCAGCTTTGATGAAGTCTTGATTCCAACATCTAGTAGTGAAGGTCATGATGGTCTGGTTGCATGATTGATGCAAGTATCCAATGGTGTCCTTGGGCTGCCGTCGTGAGCTCCAGCCGAATCCACATCCACTACAATAGGTTCCCGACCATGGGCCTGCTCGAAAGCCTTAGGTCAGAAAATTGTTTGTAGGGTTTGAGACCTGTTTGACATGACTAGCCTTGCCATCCTTGGCGCCCTAAGCTGACAATGCGATGCAACCACTTTGACATGCTTTCTGACAGGTAAGAATTTTCCACAAATAAAGATTCTTTAAATCATTTACTTAGAGGCTAGCAACTTTGAGTCGGGCCAGTTCCTCTTGCATCGCAGCAAGTTGCGGGTCCGATTCGACTGACATGGTGGCACTTCGTAAAAGGTCAGCACCTCTCAAAAGGGTCGAGCTGCTCAAGGACTTGCTGAGCTGCGAATTGAGCGCCATCAAAGCCGAAATCTTTTGCGGATACAAAAAAAGTTTCAAAAAAAAGTTTCAAAAAAAAACAAAAAAAGTTTCCAAAAAAAATCCGCCTAATTCCGCCTAATTCCGCCGAGATTCCGGCTTTTTCCGCCGAGATTCCGGGTAAAAACGCCGAGGTTCAAAATGGTTTCAGATCGTCTAAAACTGCTTCAAACCGTTTTACTGGTGTTCAACCGGCTTCGGAACCTGTCCAAGACACCACAACAGTCATTGCAGTGCAAACTTCCAATTTGCAAGTCAGTGTAGGTGCTAATGATTTGGAAGCACTTTTCCCCGATCTTAATTTCAGACCTCAAGTGCTGTTTGGCTTGCTACAGCTGGGACATCATATCCCGAAACTCTACTGGTATCTCTAAGAGACAAGACTTGCGAACATAAGCCAAAGCCTCACCAAGTGCAGCATCATCCCAAGGGTCTCCCGGTGGCATAGCTAGGATCAAGTCTTGAAGTTTGACATTTGGCTTTACCTGATAGCAGGAAAGGATTCCCAACCGCAACCCAACATAATTCAGCATGAACAACTGGAACTACTGACCCTGGACCAAGCTACATCCAAAGCCTGCAGCCCCTTCTGAGGCTTTGTGCGGTGGAACCATGATTGGTGCAACTTCACGACACGAGCAGCGAAGGCTGGGGTATACGTCCTTGGCAGACAGCCATGGTTGCAAATCCGCCGGCCTGCCGGCGTGTTTGATTGGAAGGTGTTGTTCTTGTTTCTGTTCTTGGCTTGTACTTGTTCTTTTGTTCTCTTGCTACGCGTTTTTGCTTCGTCTGAATCAAGTCCATCCCCCGCCCCTCCACCCCCTCTCCCCACCCTACTACTACTACTACGACGACGACGACTACTACTACTACTACTGCTACTGCTACTGCTACTGCTACTGCTACTGCTACTACTACTACTACTACTACTACCACTACTACTACTACCACTACTACTACTAGTACTACTAGTACTAATAGTACTACTAGTACTAGTTACTAGTACTACTAGTCCTACTAGTCCTACTACTACAACAGCAACTACTACTACTCCTACTACTCCTACTACTCCTACTACTACTACTGCTACTACTACTACTACTACTACTGCTGCTGCTGCTACTGCTACTTGTGGTATACGGTCAATAGGTTGTTACAGCGAGCCCTTGCTACACAGCCGCTTCCGTTTTACGGCTTTGTCTTCGTCTTCCTTTCTTATTCGTCTTATTCTTCTTCTCCTTCTTTTCTCTTCTGCTCTCGCGAGCTTCCACCTAGAGTGCGCATCAAACTCCTTTGGGGCCACCTCTCTATGGCTGGCGGGCTTGCCGGAGGCAATTAAAGATGTTTATTCAATTGGGTTATAATTTAACAATGCATAAATGGGGATACAATTACATCTAGATACTTGGCAAGGCGCCATAACTGCAGGAGATGAAAAAATAACAAGATGCAAATCATAGCCAAATCTTGGGTCCCCAAGCAAGGAATTCCAACAGTAGTCCTGGACCCTCTCGGGATTCATGTAATAAATTCGCTGGATTGTTTTTCTCATGTATTTCCCAGTTTTGGCAAAAAGGAAACCTATACCACCCAAGGCTGGCCATTGCAGCCAATGAACTGGGAACTTTTGAGGGCCTTCGTTCCTTTGAAACGAGCTTTCCCGCTACCATCCATGTAGCGGGTTGTGGTAGGAGTCTTGTTCTCTTTTTTCTGGTGGTTTGCCAGTTTGCCCCTGTCTAGTGCCGAAATGGCAAAGGAGATGGACCATACTTTGGATCTTTTTGGGGAGAAATGCTTCCAATGGCACATCCAGAAGCGCTGGCGGTATACCTTGGCAGGTGTTGCTGACCCGCCACCGCATGTGAAGTTCACACCCAAACATGATAGTAGCAGGAAAAGGATGTGCAAGCTAGGCTCTGGCATGTCCAGTTTCGAAGAAAGGAGCTCCAGCAACCACACCATACGATCATGGGACATTACCAATGAAGAGTTTGGCTGCTCAAGGACCCAAACTCCACCACAACATGTAATGTAAAGCAATACCAGGGCTGTCCTGACCAGGGCTATGATTCACACAGAACTATTTAGCAGAAGCCCTTTCCCAAAGATACCATTGAACCCCTCTCCTGGCCGTCATTAAATTGGATAGCCGAACACTTTGGAATTCTTCAAATCCATGCGGCAAGAGTTCATCGCGCTGGGATGTCCCAGCATTAACTACCACCCATGAACTGCACAACAGGCCGACCATGGCCGTCAGCAAGTCGAAGCGGCACCTCTGCAGCGAGCGAAGTATTAACCTGGGCGAGGAGAATGGCTAAATGAGGGAAATCTGTAGGTGAGAGAAATCGGAAATCTGTAGGTGAGAGAAATCACAAAAGCTCATAAAGTACAACCCAAAGTATTAGAATCCATTACCCCCAAAACCTGTAATAGTGTTGACACTGAGAATCACTAGGCCTGCTGGCCCCGTAATGTCAAAAGCATTGTTGAGGGATCCTTTGCTTGATTTGGCATCCTTGTCAAAATCCCAATCATGGGCTTCACAGGGAATTCCACACGCTTTTCCGAGACGTGATATGCGAGCTTGGCCCGCAAATAGCTCAAGCATTTCAATCTCCCGGTCATCCCTTCCCTCCAGACTTGTCAGCCAAGATGTCATGAGAATGAGAACGACAAAAGCCTCGGATAGCAGGGAAAGAATCTCCACACCCTATGCCTGTTTTTTAATTTCGGGAAGCTCATCCAACCCCCGTGAATGTATTCAAGTGACACGGGGACATCCTACGCAGATAAGTCTACGCAGGACTAGTTCCAGCTCATCAGGTTTCATGGCAAAGGGAGTGGCGCCAGTTGAAGGGGGCACTGTCCAGCTATCCAAGGCAAAATGGCTGTGGTTTGGAACTGGTAGTGTCAAGCTTCAAGCACTTTCAAACTTCTCAGCAACTCTGCTGCAATAGTTATTTCCCCGCCGCTTCCACCAAATAAACATGTCGGATAGACATGGGTCAACGCCAAACCCATTTCGAAGAAACACCTTCAGCTGCTTTGGCATATACCTGGAGAGCGAAGAGGATCATACCTCGATACCCGGGTTCCAAAAAATCCAATTGACCCCAAAATGGGAGGCTGGATTTGGTGGCCTGGTGGGGGTTTCATTGAGTGTTGGTTTGCAAACCCTGGGAACCACGGTAAGAACTTGAATGAAGTCTCAATCAACGCCAATTTTCTCAGTGTCGCTGTCAAGATGTCGTCGCTTTGGAATCCCTTGGAAAGAATTGCACATAGCAAGCATGTCCCATGCGCAGTCGCACAGGCTCACATGCGCCCAGCCTCTAGACAGGAACTCTTCGCCCTGCCAAAAACCCCAGGCCAATCAGATGATCGGCACCTACAGATGAACCTCGCTCAGTGGATCATCCCTGCACATTGCCTTGGGCGGGAGAAGGACGAGCGGTTGGTGGGAAAAACAAAACATTGTGTGCAGCATGCGTGGGTAATGGGTAATGTAGTGAACTTTTCCAAATAGACTGAAGACAAGATGCCTTCCGTTTCAAGAAACAGCTTGGCCCAATCATTCACTTGGACCTGGAAAGCTGTGTCATCATCCAAATCCACGCCACCAGCACGTTCCAGGCAGAAGTTGAAGAAGGGATCCTGCAAAGAATAGAACTGGCTCAGGGCAGGTTTGTAAAGAGAGACAGTGCTTGGCTAACAAGTTGGTTGCTAGCTATACCAACCAAATTCAGAAGTCTTAGTGGTGTGATGATGGGAACCTGTCCTCTTTTTTCGAAGCTGCTTTGAGCTCCCCCTTGATGCCAACAAAGGCTTTGCGAGCAGCAACCCACACACTACGCAAAGGCTGAGTCTTGGGAATGTAGCGTCCTGCGAAGGTAGCCTTTTCACGTTTCCCAGTGTCAGCAGAGACCTTGGGTTCAACAGGTGTTTTCTTCCCATTGTTCAACTTGCGTGTCTTGGGACTGGAATCCGGTTCCTTGTGGTCTTTCCCTTTGCTCTTGGTCGCAGGCTTCTTTGACGGGCCCTTAGGTTCTTTGGAGCTGTTTGCACCCTTTCCCTTGGCGCCCTTGCCACGAACTCCGTTGTCATCAGCCTTTTTCTTTGTTTTCCCCTTTGCTTTGGCCTTTGCTTTGGCCTTTGCCTTTGCCTTTGCCTTACTTTTAACCCTGGTTTTCCTTGTTGGCTTTTCCTCCTCATCATCGTCTCCTTCCTCACCTTCCTCCTCTGAACCTACTGCCTTCAGTTGTTCTCGGAATTCTCTCTGGTCTCTCCGTGTCACAGGTGAGGCTGCGGCAACGATGTCCATAGGCGATGGGCTCGTTGGCTCACCTTTGGCTTCAACTTTGGGTTCAGCTTTTGGCTCCATTGTTGTTTCAACTTTTTGTTCAGGTCTGTTTTGCAGTTCCTTTGTGTCAGGCTTGTGCGGCTTGGGAATGCCATAGCGGGCACGAATCAACAAGCCCATGGCTTCGGGCAAGGATCCCCTGGCTTTCACCAAAGCTTCCTCAGCCATCTCTTTGGTAAACCCTGTAGCCATGATCACTCGGACATCATGTTCCAACATCACAACTGGACACTTGAAATTTTTGTCAAGACATCCCGGTAGCACTGGCGGAGTGGGAGGTTCAAGTTGCTTTCCCTGAAGGTCATCCATAGCATCCTTTGGGTCCGGCTCAGTTGGGAAAGGTGTCTCAGTGGTCCTATCATCATGCTCTTGACTCTTGTTGCGTGTGTCCTCTTCCTGAGGAACTTTGGGAACTGGTGGAGATGGGGGATAAGCAACATGGACAGCTTCCCCCCCATGTGTACTACATGGCGAAGCTTCAGCAGGAACATACCGAAGGGTGGCATCATGGTCATAGGGCTGTGTTTCCTCCGCGCTGCCCCAACACTTCTTGCCCAGCAACGCGACACGCCTCTGCTGCATTTGCTGCCTCAGCGTAAGCGAAGAGCAAAGGAATTTGAATTTGTTTTTTGGGTTGATTTAGTTTTCCCTATTGATCCTCACTTGAAATTTCAAGGGTACCTAGGGTAGGAAACAAAGATTTGCATCATCAGAAAAACTTAGCTGCTCCAAAAACATCACACGTGAACGTACAGAGTTCATAAGCTCTTCCGGCACAGGCCCATTGACAGACGACGGTAGCTCAATCTGTTTCGGTGGAGTTGAATCACCTGGACCCTTGCACCAAGCACTCTCGAAGTCTTCACTGGGGCTGGGTGTTTTTCTGAGGTCCCTCCCCAAAGTCCAACAAAGTTTCTCCTCTTTTCTGGCCATCACAGCGCTAGGGTCACTTTCTTGGGGGCTGATTGCGGCGTACACATCATGCAAGCAAACAGGTCCCGCTTCTTCAAGTTCACTCTCTTGACTTTCCCCACTCTCAACCCCCGCTGCCCCAGCATCTTGTTCCTGACAATCCTCAAGACTCTCGGCTGACTTGCTCCCCGCTGGGGGAAGACGGATCTTGGGTTCGAAGTACTGCGCCAAGTAATCATACAGCTTCTTCAGTTCTGGATCCTTGGGAAAATAAACAGAACAAGGAAACATAACAGAGTCCAAAATCTTTGTTGCAATCAACTTTCTTGATGTTTATAGTGAGCCATAATCTGTGAAAGTGAAATAAAATGCAGGCGATGTACTTGCCGTTTGTGGCCATCATGTCTGCGAAAGCACAAGGTCACAAAGCCACGAATGGCTGTAGCATCACAACGAATGGCAGCAACTTCAGTCCTCAGCTTCAGTTTCTCCCTGAAAACCATCACCTGGCGCGCTGCGCTATTCGGTTTGTAATGCTTAATTGGGCACAAGCACTGCTTTGAGCAATTTTGAATTTATACCCTGTTTGCCTGGCCTCGGGTTCAACCGTGTGGATATTGACAGTCTTCAACTTCTCGGTGAGTTGGGGTACCCATTTTTTCAACACGTGCAGCACAACACTGGCATTGTCTGCCAAAGTGTGCATTGTAATTGTCCCGGCTAGCTGGGGTGTAGGCCACTTTAAGAGGCCCCCAATGGCCAGGGCACGAGTCCTAACTTCTTCATCACGCTCAAGGTCACTTCCTAGGCCTTCCAAAGTAAAACACTTAGGAGGGTCCGACATGGGCCCAAGGACGGTCAGCAACCGTAGCCCAACTGCAGCAGGTTTGGTCCACTCAAAAAGCTACGAAATAAGTAATGTTGACTCATGCCGTCTTGATATATCCAAGTGGAACAGGCTCCCTCATTCGATCATTGTCCAAATGTGCTGATCCAAGGACTGGTGGGACCCATGGGGCACTTCTTGATGAGGCAGGCGGAGCCTTCCAGCCTCAGCGGATTGAAAGAATGATGTGGGAACAGTCTAAGTATAATTATATTTCTGCGTATTTACATAAGTTTACTGTTTACATGTTCTTCGGGTTGGAGAAGAGAAATCGAAACTTGAGAAGTGAATTTCTGCTGAGATCTCGGCCAGCCAAAGAGTTGCCACAGGGCTCATCGCCCACTGACCTGGCAAGTTGATAAGGGGGGGAAATCCTGGATACCAATTTGCCTCACGTGAGGAAAAACCTAACAAGCACACTCGCGCACCCTGACCTTCAAAGTGCCAATGGTCAGCATGCCAGAAGGTGGTTTCACCTGCGTGGGGCAGGGGCTTTGAGCTTACAGTAGGCACCCCATAGAAAAAGAAGATAGTGTGCAGGGCTTTTCCTAAGGCATAACTGGCTGAGTTTTTCTAAAGCTCGCTGGCCTGTGTTGGTCACCTTTGGTCAAACTAAACCCAGTCTAAGCTACTTTGTGGCATGATTTGCGCCGCCATCTAAATTGGTTTCCTCAGAGCCCTTGTGCTCAGTCATCTGTTCCTCTTTACCTCAGAATGAGGCTGACTAGATGGCTGTAACCTTCAAACATAAGAACAAAAACGAACACAGTGGACAGAAGGTGAATCTGTGGCAAGTTACGCTCAGCCTGCCAATCCCAAAGGACCTGGGCGAGAACCTTGATGTGACCACCATCCTTAAAGTTCTGGGCCATAGCTGCTGCCTTGTCCGGTGACAGGGTCGCCTGGGCAAAGAAAGGGGAAGACCACAGCTAGAAGGCATGTATTCCCACCAGCTCAACATGTGCATTGTGATGCCATGTGTGCATGTCAAAAAATAATGCTGGAAAGGGTCAGTTGGTGTATCCATTGGCCATAGCACGAGTTGGGCTTGTTCATACCACTTATCCGGCATCTTATCTAATCCAACTTTTTTCAATTCCTCCATCTTGAGGATTCACCTTATCCACTGCGCTTTGAGCAAGAAAATGCTCCAACGGGCAGGTGGCAGTCACTTCAGCTCAAAAACCTTGGTGTTCACAGCAAGCAAATTTGATTGCAATGCTTGTAGAGCAAGGGATGGGCGTACCTTCAATCCCAGGTAGTTCCAGGCTGTCAAACATGATTCGGGGGCATACCAAACATCTTGAGATTCAAATGCCTACGTCAAGATAAATTTGCCGAGATTTAGAAACTTCCGGGTGAAAGTGCCGAGGAAGCTGCCTAGGCGCCGAGGGCAGAAAAAAGTGCCGAAGGGTTCTTCTAGGTATATGAGAAGAGATGAGATGAGAAGAGATCAGCTGGGATAAGGTGAGAAGAGCTCAGATGAGCTGAAGTGTGGAGTGTGAAGAGTGCAGTGTGAAGTGTGGGGCGTGAAGAGTACAGTGTGAAGTGTGAAGTGTGAAGTTTGGAGTGTGAAGGAAGCAGTGAGAAGTGTGAAGTGTGGACTTTGAAGTGTGAAGTGTGGAGTGTGAAGTGTGAAGTGTGGAGTGTGAAGTGTGAAGTTTGGAGTGCGAAGAGTGCAGTGTGAAGTGTGAAGTGTGGAGTGTGAAGTTTGGAGTGTGAAGGAAGCAGTGAGAAGTGAGAAGTGTGGAGTGTGAAGTGTGGAGTGTGAAGTTTGCAGTGTGAAGTGTGAAGTGTGGAGTGTGAAGTTTGGAGTGCGAAGAGTGCAGTGTGAAGTGTGGAGTGTGAAGTGTGGAGTCTTAAGAGTACAGTGTGAAGTGAAGTGTTGACTGCGAAGTTTGCAGTGTGAAGTGTGAAGTGTGGAGTGTGAAGTTTGGAGTGCGAAGAGTGCAGTGTGAAGTGTGGAGTGTGAAGTGTGGAGTCTTAAGAGTACAGTGTGAAGTGAAGTGTTGACTGCGAAGGGTGCAGTGTGAAGTGTGAAGTGTTGACTGCGAAGGGTGCAGTGTGAAGTGTGAAGACTGTCAAGTGTGAAGTGTGACGTGGGGCTTCAAGTGTGACATGTGAAACACGACACCACTTTCGCAGACTGCACGCACGCACGGGCTTGGCTGGCGCACGGCGCATGCAAGTTCTATAGATGAGAAAGGTCTGATATATATTTTTAAGGCAACTTCCGCCCCGCCTCGTGCGGGTACTACTGGTATGTTTTAATATGCTTAGCATTGCGAGGATGCACAGTCCTTCAGGAAGTTCTCGCAGGCTGTTCCAACGGAGGTCCAGGGCTCGCAAGTTTTTCGCTCCAACGAAAGTGTCTCAGTCAACTTTGGTGATGTTGTTGCCACTGACGTCGAAATAGTTCAAGTGCGGATTTCCTTCAAATAGTCGGGGTGGCAGAAACTTGATCAAGTTTCCGGCTTCCAATTCGTAATTTGTCAGTGTTTCATTCTCAAAGCCCGACTTGCTTCCAAGCAGAAGCTTCTCAAGGGATGGCAGATGGGATAAATGGTCTCCTGAGATGTTGTGGAGTTCGTTCCCATGGAGGGAGAGCACTTCCAGCTGCTCCAATCCATAGAAAGAGTCCCTGGCCAGCGTGCTGAGTTTTGACCGGCTGATATCCAATATCTGTAAGCAAGGGAGATGCTCAAAGCTTCTTGGTCCCAAGCTTGTTATGGAAGTGTTTGCTAGGGACAACCGCAACAGGCCGCAACCCAAAGGTTTGAATGCCTGTGGCTCAATGCTGGTGACACCAGCAATGACAAGCTGCTCTTGCTGCAGTTGCGCTGCCAAGCTGCAGCTTTGAAGTCGTCCAGCGGAACACCGGCAAGGGAAGCACGTGAAGTCTCCTCTGTGCCCTGGATAAACATCCTGACAGATCAGCAAGTAGACAAGCAACGCCGTCAAACATGGTGAGTAGATGTACTTCAGGAAGCGTTTCACCCATGGACATCTCACATGGGCCCGGACAACCTTCGGGCGGACATCTCTCGCGGCTTCCAACTCAGGCGTTTGCCCTCTCTGAACAGCGCGACAAGCGCAGCACACGTGAGCAATGCTCACATAGACTGCCATGTATTGGAGGAACTCTGAAGGGAAAGCGAATTTGGCACTTATACCTGATGCAATCTGAGACAATCCAAGTCATGAAACGTTTTGCAACAAAACCCTAAACCATGACCAGCCACCACAAGGACCTGATCGCACCAAATACGTGGCAAGGTGCTGTTACTAAAGCCCAACTGCGAGCGCTCTCCAAAATTACCCCAAACAGACACGTTCACGTGCAACTCGGTCGTCCCGATCACAACCATCACCAAGTAGATCAAAACATATCCCAGATCAAAGAAAACGTCCAGCATCGCACAGGTGTAGCGACACCGCATACTCTCCGGGAAAATGAAGAGCATGTTGGGGTAGACGCTGTTGCAAAATAGTAGCGCCCAAAACAACCAGAATGTTACCTTCAGGGCTATGCCATCCACCTGATTAACCGTGAAAACATCGTTGAACCATGCGTTTGTTTCATATTCATCCAACCCCCTGCCTTCAAAGATTCTGCAACTGAGAGCCTTTGTTGTTCTGCAAAGAGTGCAATGCCACCGAGCAAATGAAGCTTCCCAAACGCCTGAAGCAAAATGGTCAGGAGCTGTAGCAAAGCCACTTTGAACGTGTAGTAGGTGCCTTCAACTCCAAAATAGCGGTCATAGACAATTCGTGACAGCTGTCTGCTCTTCCGTTTTTGAGCTGTCGGAGCAGAAAAGCAAAACAAATCGCGTGCGAAAACCACTACAAGAACTGCATAAGGCCCTGATAAGCACAAGGCATCCCACCATGAGCCGTCAAAGCGTTCTCCAAACGCGACTTTGACAAAGCGATGCTGTCCCAGTTGACCTATGCTTTCGTGCAAGCTGGAAGGGCCATAGCGAAAGAAGTATTGACACGTGAAATAAGCTGCCGTGATCATAGCAACGAAACGGGCCAGTAACAGGAGCACCGGAAGAAGAGCAGCCAAAATCTGTGAGCCGCGAGGCAAACTCGGTATCAGGTCTCCAGAACTTGAACCCTTTGCATTTGGACCGTCACGTTGCAGCCACCTTCGAGGCTTTGCATCCTCCAAGAGGCCAAAAGCATCCGCCAAAAGGCAAAGTTCGCTGAGGTTACTCTGCAGCCTTGTTAAGGAGGCAACACAAAGAACGACAGTGGCCAAATAGCCTGAGCTTCGCAACGCTTCAGCAACGATTACTACATGTGTTAGCTAGAGCAAGTTAGGTTGGAAATGAATCAAATTGAATCAACATATGTATCATCGGTTTCAACATAACCAACATACATATGACATGTATCATCGGTTTCAACACATTTATCCACTTGAGAATGAAGCAAAACGGTCCTGTTTTGAATGATTTGAATGGCCTGCAAATTCATGAAATGCCGTGAATGACATGCCAAGATATGCCAGCTGGCCGTTCATGGACATCACGATCTTGCTGCATCTCCGCTCCTCTTCTTGGGCAAATCCATCCCACAATGCCACGATCTTCCACGGTTCTTCTTCGCCTTGAAATCTTTTGCTCAGCGCAAGCCACACCAGTTGAACTTGCTGGAGGGATTCACAATGGATTTCGCAAGAAAGAACATCATGGTCTCCTGGGCACAGATCTGAACAAAACACAACTTGACTTCAAGGCATGTGACTCGTGGCCGTGGCGTCCTTGACTCGTTAGGTCGGCGAGGCGCTTGATCTTTGCATTTGCTGTTGCATTCGTCACTTCACCTTCGCCCAAGGCTCGGCGCAAAGCATTCCTGAGGCAATCCCGAGCTACAACACCTATGAAAAGCGAAGGATCTGCATGCTCAAGGGGACTGGATCTGATGATTATGTCCACTGCCTACAGATGGGGCACTAATTATGCACTGATTATGCACTGGTTATGCTTATCACTGCAATTTGCAACTGCAGTAGGTCGAAGAGAAGAGATAGTGGCCGATAGTCACTGTCGTACATGCTGCCGATTTTGTACTTTTGAGGCTGCAAAGACTGGAAAGAACCAAGCCTGAATGGTCACCCAAACTTCTTGTCCTAGCGTCTGAAAGCTGAGAAAGTGGATCCGTGCCTGACGGAAGTTGCTTGTCCTTGGCTCACGATGCATGGGGTCGCTTGCCAAGACCTACATGCAGACCGCTATCAGCTCAACAGGCACTGTCTTTGCGAAAACAATCAAATACAAAGAGAAAAATTGAAATGCGTGAAATATGTTGAAACAATTTTGAAATATTTGTTCACAGCGTCAAATCCGTGTCGCTTTGTCGCAAATCTGTGTTCGGGAAGTCATCAGCGGAACTTCCAAAGACCAGAGAGAGGTGCGACAAGTTCGCAGGACGAATCGCCTCCAGCGCTCAGAATCCAAATTTCGGACACAGAAAAACTATAAAACTATGGATTGAGTGGATTATTTGGATAATTTGAAACTATAAACTGAATTTTCGGACAAAGTGACAAAAGAGTCAAAAGAGTTACTTCTTATGCGTTGCTAGAAAGGTTTGTCCGATGCACTGCAGTACCCTCTGGTAATCTGGCAATGGGTCCATGGGTAAGCGGAAACAGCCGATTTCTGGATGGTTTTCCATGGTTTTCCGGTACCCCCGATTTCCATCCATTTCACATGTATTTCACATGTTTGCCATAGGTTTGATGGGGTGCCTGTGAGCAAATGGCTTCAGAAGCCAAGGACAGTTCCAGAGTTGCTCGGTGCATCCGATCGAATCGCAGCAATGCATAAGATACAGATGCGAAGAGCAGCGAGATCAACACGACACAAATTGAGGTGGCCGACCCCACCAATCGATCAAGGCTCATCCAGAGCACAGGATACCTACAGCTATCCGACTATCGTGTGCAGCATGTGAAAACATGTTACAACAGACATGTGGTAATGAAATGTGACCGGCCGGCACAGCATGGTGATTCAAGTGCGAGCTGCAAAGAGATGACAATCAAGGCCAGCAAGCCCCTCGATTCGATATCTGCCGTGGCTTGTACAAAGAAAATCAGCAGCAGCTCTGCGTATTGAAAAACCTCAGAGCGCAATGCCAGCAGAGTCGGAGCTGTTTGTCTGGGGTTGATTTGAGCCTGTGGGCCTATGGGTCAACCTCAACACTGTTGCTCTCATGTTGCAGACATGTGGTCCAGTGGTTACATAGTTTCTATTCTCAACTCTTTCAAAACTTGAATGTTGCATCACGACAAATGCAAACCATGACAGCAAATCTCTGTATCCATGGCACGAGATGACATCTGGAGAACGCATTGTGGTAAAATCGGGCAAGTCGATGAGCATCGCAGTATCCATGAGAATTTCCGTGGAACTTCGTGCAGCAATGGCAAGGGAACGGATCCTGAGAGGCCGGAAAAAGCCGGGGAGGCCGGAAAAAAAACAGGTGCAGCCCGGGTGCGAACGGTTGCACAACGTCTGGCGAAAACACCCTCAACCCCCAGAGATCCCCAGAGTGAAATGGGAACCCTTGCTACGGCTACGCATTCGGGAAGAACCTTCGATAGCCTGCCTTTGAAAACATGGTACAAGTGGTACAACCACGTTTGGCCAAAGACATCCAAAGATATTTTTCCTGCAAATTCTCTCTTGAACTCAGGGTGTCTGGGAGCCATGCAAACTTGGAGCTATGCATCCTGGGGTTCCCTGGGTCGAGGTTCGATTTGTGACTCTGGAATCTCGGCCAGCGAAGCTGCGCTTGGCGTGGGTGAACTGGGTGAACCTCTGCGAACTGTCTGCAGTTCATGTCTACATGTGGTCACTGCAATGAACCTCTGGCAATTTGTTGATCCTGTCGAATTCCGTTTGGCTCGAAGGTGGCAAGTGTGACTTGTAAACGGCGCCCGCCTATCTCAAGGTGGCTTTGTGAACGACCCACCTGTGCAAATCAAAATGAACATCGCATCGATAAACAGCCACCAAATGAGTCCAAATCATCAATGGAGCCTTCGAAATATGCCGCTGGAACGAACGAAACAATTATGAAACCATATGGTTCCATTACATAATGTGGCACGAACATGAGAAGGGGGGAACGAAAATCAGCATCCCATCTACCCCTATTTTCCCCCAAAGATTTTTGACCCACAGACTTTTCACCTATATACTTTTCACCCACAGACTTTTCACCCAGAGTCTTTCACCCATATACTTTTCACCCGTATACTTTTCACCCAGAGACTCTTCACCCAGAAACTCTTCTTGCACAGACTTTTCACCCAGAGACTTTTCACCTACTGGTTTTTCACCCATATACTTTTCACCCAAGACTGTTCAACCATATGTTGTTCACCCACAGACTTTCACCCATACATTTTTCGCCCACAGATTTTTCACCCAGACTTTGCACCCTCAGACTCTTCACCCATACCCGTCTCACTCACATACTTTTCACCCACAGACTTTTCACCCACAGACTTTTCACCCATAGTTTTTCACCCATATATTACTTCTCACCCATATACTTTTCACCCAAGGCTGTTCAACCATATACTTTTCACCCGTAGACTTTTCACGCAGAAACTCTTCACCAATATACATTTTACATTCAGACTTTTCCCCGATATACTTTTCACCCACGAAAAATTTCACCCACAGACTCTTCACCCACCGTCTTTCACCCATTATATTTCTCACCCATATACTTTTCACCCAAAGCTGTTCAACCATATGTTTTTCACCCACGGACTTTCACCCATAATTTTTCATCCACAGACTTATCGCCCGCAGACTTTTCACCCACAGACTTTTTAGCCACGGACTTTTCACAGGCGAGGGGTTCACTTTGGGCACAAATTCGAGCTCACTTTGGGCATAATTTTTTGAGGTTCACTTTGGGCATAAATTGGGCTCACTTTGGGCATAAAATGAATTAATTCACTTTGGGCATAAATGGGTTCACTTTGGGCAAAAATGGGTTCACTTTGGTTGGGCATAAATAAGCTCCCTTTGGGCATAAATGGGCTCACTTTGGGCATAAATGGGACCACTGTGGGCATAAAAAGCAGAGCCACGACACCTTTAGGGTTTATATGTTGTTGCGCTTAATGTAAGTGCAGCCACGACACCTTTAGGGTTTATATGTAATGTAAGAAGAGCCACGACACCTTTAGGGTTTATATGTTGTTGCACTTGATGTAAGAAGAGCCACAACACCTTTAGGGTTTATATGTTGTGGCACTTAATTCCAGAAGAGGCACGACACCTTTAGGGTTTATATATTGTTACACTTAATGTATGAAGAGACACGACACCTTTAGGTTTATTATATACCAGAGACTCTTCTTCCACAGGCTTTTCAAACTTTTCACCCAGAGACTCTTGACCTATATACGTTCTTTTTACCCTCAAACTTTTCACCCATATACTTTTCACCCAGGGACTTTCACCAATACATTTTTCGCCCACAACTTTTTAACCCACGCTCTTTTCACCCACAGACTTTGCACCCTCAGACTTTTCAGCCATACCCGTTTCACCTATATACTTTTGACCCACAGACTTTTCACACACAGACTTTTCACCCGCAGACTTTCGCTCATACACTTTTCGCCCACAAACTTTTCACCCACAGACTTTGCACCCTCAGAGTTTTCACCCATATATATATATATATATATCCGTTTCACCCACATACTTTTGACCCATGGACCAGGAAAACAACCGGACCTAGGGGGAATCGATACCCACCGTCGCTGTTTTGCCGCATGGTATATTACCCTGCAAAACCATACCTTTCGCATGCCTAAAACACCATCTATTCTATATATGACGTTTTCGGCAACTTGAAGCAGCTACCTCCCCCCACACCCCCTATTCTCACTTCGTTCGGGAATAACAACTAGCCAGCTTCCCAGCTGGCTTTCGTAATTTAAGCAATCACATTACCATCAACGTGGCAATTACATGGCACATTACGTTGCACATTACGTTGCATCTTGAATTGCGAGCCGGTGCGACGTGGCTTGACTGCGTTCCATGCCTTGAGCTTCCCAAGGCAGAGATTCAGCGTCCAGGTGTTTGTATCCTGGGAATCAGCACAAGGTGCGGCACAAGTCGTATTGCAAGTTGCAACTTTGCGATAGGCTGGCATTGAATGGAAGATTCTTATGTTGTTAAAAGTGCCATACCATTGAATCTGCCATTTCTGGGCACACCGTGCTTCAACGCGGTGGTGTTTTGAACCAGATTGAATTTCTGAAACCGTCCTCGATGTGAACCCACATGTAAGGCCGGCGTCGCAGGCACTGCTTCAGCTGCCGAGTGGCAGCAAACCTTGAGCAAGTTCGGTTTGTCATTTCAATTCATTGAAGCCAATCGCATTTTGAATGACATGTTTTCTGTCACGTGGAACAATATGGAACAATGACAACTTCTCATGGGGTCATCTCCAATTTTTTCGAATATGATAAACGTCTTTGGGTAAAGCTAAACCACACCAAGCTTCAATGCTGTCTTGGATTCGCGCGGTACGCTGGGACAGCCGTTCACATACAAGACCAGCTCCTTCAATCTCCAACAGCAAACAGCTCTCGAAATTCCAAAGAAACAATTATATAGAAGGATGCGCGGTGGTCACATGGTGAGAAAACAAGTCTCAACCTACCCTGCAAGCTCCTCCAAACGAAGCTTCAACAATGCCTTGTTGCTGATGCCCAACTCGATGTCCTCTAAGTCTGGAAGGTCTGACAGCCACAGCTCCAAACGTCTCAAGGAAGGGCAAAGCAAAGCAGACAAGCCAGAAATGCTTCTTAAAGATCCTGCGAAGCGAATCACTAGGGTCTGAAGGGCGTTTCCGAAGGAAGCACCCGCTAGATCATCCAAACGCTCCAAACCAGTGTAGGCAAGATCGAGCCGTAAACTTTGCAGTTTGGATGGCAGGTTGTCGATGAGAATCCGCAGGTCCGGGTCTTGGAAATTGTGGCAACCTGTCAGTGACACTTGGATGTTCCTTCTTTCTGCATCTGACCTTAGTGCTTGCCACAGGGTTGATGGGGCTTGTTGTCCGTTCCGATATGACTGCTGGATGCTGGTCAGTGCAAAGTGGGAGGCTAAAGCTTTGTTGACGGCATCATAGCGGGGGTGCTGCGTTGGAAAAGGCGTGTCCAACGCCCATGTCCTGGCTCGCGGACATCGCACGGAGTTCAAAATCCGTGTCTTGTCCTCTTCTTTGGACGCTTGTGCTGTAGCAATGTCAACGCTGAGGCCTTTCTGAAGCAAATCCATTGGAAAGGATTGCCCACGGCGTGACTTGCAGAGCAAGCCCAAGATGGGGAGAACCCGGGTCTCAGCACCGACTAAGCCATCAGTGATGACATGGGCAACATGGCAAAGATCTGTGGCAGCAACATCAAGTAGCAAAGAGTTGGTGTCCCGTTCCTCCACCTCATGTCACATTTAGCAATTTAGCCACAACATGTGAAGATTGAGACCTGAGATTTTTGGGAAGTTCCAAGAATTTCACAATCAAACTAACTCACAGCTCAATATGCTCAATGAGACAAACTGAGTGCCAGGCTGCAATCGACTCCTCAAAGCAACACCAAATCCTCGTAAATGGTGTCGTTGTTGTTGTTGTTGTTGTTGTAAGTAAATGGTGTCGCCTGTGTGTCCAGAACCAGCAACACCCCACGGCATAGTTTCATTGCTTTGTAAAATGAAGTTTTGCGCGGGTTGTTGGAAATTGCTTCCTCCAATGCATGCTGGTTGTTCGCGTAGGCACATACCCAATATGCTGGAACGCGGAGTTCTCGAAGGGTTGAGTGCTGGCGGAGGCAGGTGAGAAAGAGGTGTATGGGTTCAAGCCATGCATGCGAGACAAACCACAAAGGTCTCTGGGCTTCAGGACTATCTGCCACAAGCCTCAGGATTTGTCACAGCACTGTTTGCCTCCAAAAAACGAAGCTTCCCTATGTAAACATATACTACTTGATCATCACTTTCCTGTTTAATGGGCCGTTTGTCGTCTATGTATCCATACGTATCCCATTTTTTGGACACGCCCAAAATGAAGAGTTTGAACCGTTTGAACCCACAGGCACCAACTGATGTTCGAATACATTTCTTCTCGCGTAGCACACTTGCTTGAAAATAAGCTCGGGTGCTACCCCCAACAGCTTGGAAGTTTCTGCTTTGTTTCATTTTTTCACAGAGCCATTTCAGAACGGAACATCACCCACTGCAAGCTGGGGTATTAAAAAGAGGCTGCTTCCAGATTTCAGACTAGAAAACGCCACCATGAGACCTTGCATCGTTGTCATCAAACAAGTGAACTCATACATAGGCAGGACGATGACATCATGCGCACATTGTCATACAATCATACACATACAATCATACACATACAAGCATACACATACAAGCATGCAATGGTGCTGCACAATGGTAAAAGAACCAGGGCCACGAACCACAACAGGTATCTGCACAGGAACCCTCCAGAAGCTGACCAGGTGTCTGCACCGGAATCTTCCGGAACCGCAACAGGTATCTGCGGCGGAAACCTCCGGGACCTAACAAAGTATCTACATTGGAACCTTCCGGAACCTCACCAGGTATCTCAACCAACACGAATTGATACAAAGGCAATCATGTTGGATGACACGCTGCTACTAACTGTATATGATATTGTGTTTGTCATCACGACATCATGCGCACATTGTCAAACCACCATACACATACAGTCATACAGATACAAGCATACACATACAACCATGCAACGATGTCGCACACAGGTACGTGACGCATTCCCATGAGAAGCAGTATAAACACATAAGGTGCAAGTGTTCACTTTGCACACCTTTGTGTTCACCATTCGGTCCTGCTGTCGACAAGATTGTTTACGAATCTGCGGCAAGCAGCCAACATGAACTCATACACACGCAATCATTGTGGATTACACGTTCTTACTAGCTGTATTATATGGTCTTGTGATCGTCATGAAAACATCATACACACATTGTCATACAATCGTACACATACAATCATACAGATACAATCATACACATACAACCATGCAATGGTGCTGCACGCAGGTAAATGAACAGGGCCCTGGAAAGAATTATACACATACAATGCGCAAGTGCTCACGGTGTCTACTTAGGTGTTGATGTGTTCATTCCATTCCATTCCTGCAGGTAACAGAATTGCTCATTGATCTCGGGCAAGCCACCAACATGAATTGATACAGACGCAATCATGTTGGATGACACGCTGTTACTAACTGTATATGATCTTGTGTTTGTCATCATGACATCATGCGCACATTGTCAAACCACCATACACATACAGTCGTACAGGTACAAGCATACACATACAACCATGCAATGATGTCGCACACAGGTACGTGACGCATTCCCATGAGAAGTAGTACAAACACATAAGGTGCAAGTGTTCACTTTGCACACTTTTGTGTTCACCAGTCGGTCCTGCTGTCGACAAGATTGTTTATGAAGCTGCGGCAAGCAAACAACATGAACACATACACACGCAATCATTGTGGATTACACGTTCTTACTAGCTGTATTATATGGTCTTGTGATCGTCATGATAACATCATACACACATTGTCATACAATCATACACATACAATCATACAGATACAATCATACACATACAACCATGCAATGGTGCTGCACGCAGGTAAATGAATCAGGGCCCTGGAAAGAATTATACACATACAATGCGCAAGTGCTCACGGTGTCTACTTAGGTGTTGATGTGTTCATTCCATTCCATTCCTGCAGGTAACAGAATTGCTTATTGATCTCGGGCAAGCAACCAAGATGAATTGATACAGACGCAATCATGTTGGATGACACGCTGTTACTAGCTGTATATGGTCTTATGATCGTCATCATGACATCATGCGCACATTGTCATACAATCATACACATACAGTCATACAGATACAAGCATACACATACAACCATGCAATGATGTCGCACACAGGTACGTGACGCATTCCCATGAGAAGTAGTACAAACACATAAGGTGCAAGTGTTCACTTTGCACACTTTTGTGTTCACCATTCGGTCCTGCTGTTGACAAGATTGTTTATGAATCTGCGGCAAGCAGCCAACATGAACTCACACACACGCAATCATTGTGGATTACACGTTCTTACTAGCTGTATATGGTCTTGTGATCGTCAATGATAGTCATGATAACATCATACACACATTGTCATACAATCATACACATACAATCATACAGATACAATCACACACATACAACCATGCAATGGTGCTGCACGCAGGTAAATGAATCAGGGCCCTGGAAAGAATTATACACATACAATGCGCAAGTGCTCACGGTGTCTACTTAGGTGTTGATGTGTTCATTCCATTCCATTCCTGCAGGTAACAGAATTGCTTATTGATCTTGGGCAAGCAACCAACATGAATTGATACAGACGCAATCATGTTGGATGACACGCTGTTACTAACGGTATATGGTCTTATGATCGTCATCGTGACATCATGCGCACATTGTCATACAATCATACACATACAATCATACACATACAAGCGTACACATACAATCATTCAATGATGTTGCACACAGGTATGTGACGCAGTCCCATGAGAAGTAGTATATGAAACATTCCTATGAAAAGCTGTACTGATCCCTGGTCTCTGCGCCTGCATCGGTGCAGTTCAGCGGATTGATTGTCGGATCCCTGGCCTCTGCGCCTTTCACCCGTGCAGTTTACCAGAGTGATGGTTGGGCCCTTGGTCTTAGCAACTGCCACCCATGCAGTGCCAGATAGCGAGTCAGGCTTTGCGTTTTTTATCACTTCACTGCGTCCATGCCACCTTTGTTGTCGCGTTTCTTTAAACTCTAAACCCATGCCGTCGTGACAGTTCGACATATCCTCAGGCTTTGCGGTCGTCGTTTTGCTTTAATTTAGTGGTTTTCAGGCTGGTTCGTCTTAGGATTGTTCCCTTGTCCGTGCCATGTTGTCCTTCATATTGCGCTGTGCGTGATTGAACCCTTTTTGATTCTGCATCAAACTCAGCACTGTCACTTGTTGCTGTTTGCCGACACGTTTTGCGGATCAGTCTTCCCGCGTTTGTCCTTGCTTTTCTTTTCGCCCACAATGTCGTGATGTTTCAATATGACGCTTCAGGCTTTTGCGGTCATGTTGTGTTGAATGGTTCTCACGCTGGCTTGTCCGGAGATTGTTCCCTTTGCCTTGCCATGTTGTTCGTCATACATTTGTTTTGGTGCGTGCTGCGCTTGATTGATCAAACAGGCTATGCGTCGAATTCAGCGTTGTCAGTGTTTTTCCTTTGCCAACTAAAGTGCTGTAACGCATCCAAAGCACATTCATCACACGTATTGTCTGCATTTACAATCATCACAATCAGTATCTGAATGTCAGTGTGTAGTGTGTGAAAACAGAGAAACGGGACACTATTTAAGTAGAACCACCATTTGGTCATGAAAAAGTTTTCGTGCATTGCGTGCAATCGTACTTTGATTCGACGCCAACCATATTACCCGTACATCTTTTACTGAGTCGCTGTCACCTATGTCTCTGCTGTTTTTGTTCCACGATGTCGTGATGGTTCGAGATGACTCTTCAACTTTCGTCGGCCGTCTATTATTTGTCAGTCGTCTGCAAGAGCCCACGTGTGTCAAGATTGTTGTCTTTACGTTGCCGTTTCGTTCCTTCTATTTTTTTTTGGTTTGCACAGTGCTTGGTCTAACCATTTATGGATCGACTTCTTTTTTGCCAGGCTCTGCCCCCCCCCTCCTGCAAAGTAAATCTACAAGTATATGGGTGCATCATATACTGAGTTTAAGTGTTTCTGCCCAAGAAAAATTAAATGCTTATGCCATTAAAAACATCGGAACCTTCTGGAACTTTACAAAGCATCTGCACCCGAACTTTCCGGAACCTTCCTGAATACCTGAACCTCACCGACTATCTGCACGGGAAACCTCCACAACCTCACCAGGTATCTGCATCGGAACCCTCCAAAACCTCACAAGGTACAGTATCTGCACCGGAACCCACCAGAACCTCACCATTTATCTGCAATGGAACCTCCGGAACCTCAACACGGTATCTGTGAGGTTCCGGCTATCTGCACCGGAACCCTCCGGAACATCACCATTTATCTGCAATGGAACCCTCCGGAACCTCAACAGGGCATCTGCACAGGAACCCTTTCGGAACCCTCCGGAACTTTGCCCGGAACCTGTTGTTGAAGCTGCACCGGATCGCACCAGAGCTAATCTGGGCTAAAGACCCCATAGCAAAGTTTATAAAGTTTTGCTGTTAGGTAGAAAGGAGGCCTTGTGAAGCATTGTTCCTCAACTTCTGAAGCCAAGCAACTCAACGTAACTGCACGCTTCATGTGCATCAGTGGCAGCGGTAGCAGGTCCAATAATCCAATAGTTCGCATGATAAAGGTTAAAAGCCTCAAAGCTCAAAGGCCTGCCACGTTCATCACCGAAGGTTTCAGCCCAACGGCATGCCCCCACCATGTTGACCATGGTGAAGACAAAATCCAACAGCTGCTGTATCTGTGGGATGGTGATGCCACTTTTTTCAGTGGCAATGTGCAAACCACGCCGAGGTGGCGCCAAGACCGAAAAATTGGCCAGAACCAGGTCGCAACTTCCGCAACTTCCGCAACTTCCGCAACCACCTGAATTCTCCGCATCGACATGGTCGGAAAAGTCAAAGCGGCGGGGGCCGCTGGAGAGCAATGTCTTGCCATGCCACGGCTGATCTGGCAAAGTACTTTGGACAGTTGCGATGACATCTCCTCGCTTCCGCAAACTGGAGGAAATGGACAAGCGGAAGGAACATGAACAAAGGTGCAATGTATATAACTATAATCTATATATATATCATTATATATCACTGTCGAAACCGGCCAGTTCAATTTCCATCCACAGTTTGATTTGTTTTGCTCCCTCCGGTGACCATTCACCATCTGCACCACAAACAATTTCAAAAAACCAGATGCACCAGAAACAATTTCAAAAAACCGTGCCAAAATGTTGCCGCAACCGGGTCTCCTGCTGTGGAATTGTCCACAACGATGTCGACAGGTCCAGTGGCAAGGTGAACTCGTCTGGTTGACATGGCAACAGCTAGGCTCTAGGCAGATCGAATTAGGTGTCGGATTCGGATGCAAAAGGTGCATGAAAACAAAGCACTGGCAGTGAAACCCTGCATTGCAGAAATTCTATGAAATTCTCCAAACTCAAAATGCTCCAAACCACTCCGGGCTTTGCCGGACAAAACTTGACAAATGTCTCAGCGGGGCGGGAGTCAAACACGCAACACATGCAACACGCAACCATTTCTGCCACCTGGATTTGTCGCCCTGTGATGTTCACAAAACAAAAAGCGTCAAAACGTCACATGCCAACAGGGCCTTCGTGTAGCTGTCGGACGTGGCGCGATCCCATGCCACCTACAATCCCACTGTGCAGAAGGTCTTGGACATGGCATGGTGACGGCAGGGAAAGAATCCGGGGGTTATCACATAGGGCTGACATAATCTGAATCTTCGTAGGCAGGTTTTCTTCGCCATCTCCTGCAAACTAGAGGCGTTTTCGTTCCTTCACACTTTGCCCAGATCAAAAAGGGATCTCCCACAATGGCATGGTGACAAATAGCGCACACAAGCTACTATTCCTTGACTGCTGGCAGTGAATGATCATGGAACAGCTTCTCAATAAATGCGTCGGGGTCATGAAATGTATGCTGAATCATCAACAATATTTCATCATGGCATGTATGGTCATCAATCGTAATTGTCCACATTGAGTGCAATTGTTTGTTTCTTTGGCTCAAGATGTGTAGATTATCAGCTGATAAAATGTTCATGAATCTGTCATGACATTTTTTGCTGCAACATTACATACAACATTGCCAGTGTGAAAATTATGAAACATTTAGCCGCCACATGTGGCTCCTCAAGTGCATGTTGTTACTACGCTTCATAACTGTTTGTTTTGTTTGTTGCTTGTGGACAGAATGAACATCAACCTATTGGTCATGAGAAACTGTTTCCGAACTGTGTGTCACAAAAGTGAAATGATAATGATAATCATGAAATTGATCTACGATCCATTTTTCGTAGTGGCATGTTTGCGCGTGAATTGCTCGACCAGTTCATAAATTCATAAAATCCGCGAGCTCGTGAACATGTATCAGCCCAAAATATCAACTCATCAAATGTGTGAGGTCGTTCAGTGTTTTAGCTCAGCTCAGGACATGTACAACTTGATAAACATCGCTCGCGAAATGTACCAATCCTTCCATCGATACAAAGTGTACAAGATGAAAAGTGCCCATTTCACAAAAACTGCTACAGAATTGCAAAAACATGCAAAAACGTACATATGCACGTTCAGCATACCGAAAAACATGTCGGGGTGTTGCAAACTGCTGATTTTTTCCAAGTTGGCCAAAGGATTCCAAGACAAATCATCCGAACCTATCTGAGCTTGTCTGCCTCAACTCTGAAGATGACTGAACTAACCCTCAAGACAATTCAATCAAAATTCTATGGCCAATTCAAACCCAACAGGGAAACCAATATCGACAAAATTATGTTACCGTTACCTACGTTTTGTGGGAACAAATGAATCGACACACAGTTGATCTTGGGTTTATTCAGTCGAGGGCTGAAGTCACAGCAGTTTTCGCGAATGTGGACACATGGATTACGGCAGTTTCGTCAACGGTTTGGGAATAAAAGAAAGATAGAAGGAAAGGATAGGAAAGGAACAACTCAAAACACATGCAAAAACCAACGGCCCTCACCGACAAAAAATAAAGTGAGAGAGTTCAAAGAAACATGAACAAGTTCGAGTTCACATGCACGTGCACGTGCACGTGGTACATGTACATGTGCACGTACATGTGCATGTGTCTGCCGATGTTTCCGCAAAAACTGTTCGACCACAAGTGGTGCATTTAAGATCATTTAAGTCCTCACCCCTATCTCAGTGCCGAACCGTTGGGCGTCGCCGGGTTCTGCAGGATCTGTATAGCAGAAACTTTGTCTGCTTGTGCTCTGGGGGCTGACCTGATCACGGCATATGGGAACTTGTTCATCCTTCGTCCTTCGTGCCAACTGCACCGCCCCAGTTCCGAGCCTTGAAATGGTGGCGCCATCGAAGTTCCTAGCAACCAATAGCTCTAAGGGCAATGGTGGCATAGGGATCACCAAGCCCTTCGTGTTGACCTAAGACGTGCTATGTAGACCCTGTCCCCAGATGTCTTCTTCGTCTGGCCATGCCACATCTGCGAGCCGCCCCATGGCGCACTAAGACACGAAGTGTCCGAAACACCAAAATCAATGCTGAAACCGACCAGGGGACATGGTTTTATTTTTTTTTAACATTCACTGCCTCATTTTTTCCTCCGTAAGCTGGATAAATTGTCCCACTAAATGTGGATGTTCCAAAATGCGCAAGTTAAGTTCTAGTACGACACTAAGGGGCATACGTAATCAACCGGACCAAAACCCCTCAAACCCAACTGTTTTCTTTCGTTGCAGTGAATTTGCTGTATGTTCCCCTGGAGCCTCACAGAGGACATCGGATGACATCGGTATATCTTTGCATCTTTGACCGTTTGATTTAAAAAAAAAAACAAACCGACTATGCGTGGTTACCACAAAGGGTTGCGCCCAAAACGTGTAGTCAATTGAGCTGCGGAACCCTACATTTTGATATGATTTGACACGTATCCTTTGGCATGTTTTTACCTTCGGACCCCAAAAAAAAACCACTGGCCGCGTGGTGGGCCGCAGCTGCTGGAACAACCAAGGCCACAGCAATTTCAATGTCGAGGTTTTCCGGGGCCTACTGTAGAGGTTTTGCCTCCGTGGCCTTTTTCCCGATGTCTTGTTCATGCGGTCACTTGGTGAATTCCAGAATCTTAGGAAAAACCTGACCTTCCAACCGCAAGGTTTAACTTTGTGGTTAGTCTAACCCCCTTTTTTGTTTACCCCCAATGATTTCACTGCGTATCACCGCCTTCTAAACAGCAAAGCAACATCTTTGATCACATCAAAAATGCAGAAAAAACAATACCGGCCTTTAAGGGGGTCCAAAATGTTCCAAACACCCCTTCACTTAAAGTTTAGACTTTGAATAACCTAGTTACATCCATGTAGAAAAGGTTTCGATTCATTTCAACCTACATAAGTTCATATAATTTCATGTTTTTTCTCTTCTTCTCTCCTTCGTTCTTCCTTCCTTTGCTTCCTTCTTTTTCCTGCTTCTTTTCCTGCTTCTTTTCCTGCTTCTTAATTCCTGCTTCCTTTTCTTTGGTTCTTGAATCTATGCCATGGGCCACGGGGTCAAAAAAATGCCAACCTTTTCCAAGAGTGATTGCTTGAATCCGCCTTGCAATCACATCCATGTTCGTCTGCATGAATGTGTCTTGCCGGTTTGTGCAAGACAGATGCTCTTCCCAGGACGTGTTCTTCCTTCTGCAGGCATGTGGAATTTAAATTTATGTTCGATCATGTTCGATCTGAAAATTAGTTTGATCACACGGGCAAATTCAAACTACTGAAATTCAATATATATTGTCCTTTGACCTAGTGAACGTGGTACCATGTAGTGTGAAGAAAACAACCGTAACCGGATGTCCATGCAGAAGTGAAACATATTGCAACGGTGGTCACTGAAGAACATGTAAAGATGGTGTCTTTGGTTTGACTGGATCACTGGATCGGTGGAAGCACAAACAAAAGCCATGAAATCTGGATGATTTCAATGAAGTACAACCAGACCCTCCACTCCGCACCCTGGCCAAGAGTTTTGGAGCGCGCTGCTCACAAATGACCACACATGACCACACAAATCACTCCAATCAGGCACTCTCATGGTCCTTGCCGTGAAACCTCTGAAAAGAGAGTTAGAACTGCTACTATCCAAGCATGAACCTCATCGTAGTTTCATCGTGCCAAGAACTGCTTGGGGATCTGGATGAATAAGTGAAGCTACATGCAGAAATGCTTGTACAGTAAACAACCACGATCCAAGTCCAAGATAGTCACAATCCAAGCTGCTGGAAAAAAGTTGCAGGAGATTTCCTGAAATCAGCAGGAAAACCAGCGGAGACTTTTCTGCAGGAGAGTTTTTCTGCAGGAAATTACAGGTGGATGCAGAAAAACCCGTCAGGTTTTCGGAAATCACTTCCTTCGCAGCCTGGCCGCATTATGAATGTTTTGTTTCCGTTGCAGTTTTAGTTGCTGTAAAACCTTTCCGGGAAAAAACGATTTATTTCATCCTGCTGAGAACCGATATGATTGGCGCAGTCAAGTTGTGGAAATTGCTGAGCCGTAAGCATCGTAAGCAATGGCAAACTAAGTGAAAATTAAGTAACGCAATACAAACATGTGGCCCAGCAATTGGCTGAAACGTTTTCCCATGGACTTCCAAGCGCGTGACCGTAACAACCATAGAACTCCATCACGTGATGCGCTTTCTCCTGGGCCAATTCCAAAGTGATGCACCCTGTGATGGGCAATTGCCAAGCTACTCCAAGCTGCAGCTGGGGTGGAAAGATGGGTATAACTGTATAACAGTATAACTTCGGTAAGCATCACAATAAGTTAAGATTTTATCATAAATGAAGAATAGTTAAGATATAAATATATATATAGTATTTAATCCCCACCATACTTGGTTCAAAAGTCCACTGGTAGGTGTGCAGCCTTTCAAGTTGGTACCTAGCCTCACATCAGCTCGCATCCCTGGCAGGATCACCTATGAGCTGCTTCACAGGGTAGCACCATCTCTCGGAAGCTACCGTGAACCCTCAGACAATGGACAAGATTTGTGAGCTGTTACAACAGCTGTGTTCAGCTCATGCTGTTACGTATTTGTCCAAGTACGAATGGTTACACTATGTTACACTTATGGTCCTGTGCCATTGCATTCAACAGCGAGACGATATCCAAGCTACATATTGAAAGAACACCAAGCTCGATGTTGCTAGAGCTAGTGTCAAGTTTGGTCCCATATTCCATAGTCGTGGTTCACATATCCCATCCCTGACACTTCCACCGTTTACCTGTGCAGGTGTGTCGTCGCAAAGGGTTTCCTCGGAACGTGGCACTGGGTCTGGCACCGGCAACCGGGCCCCAAAAAAGCCCCAAGAGCACGAAAACTCCGAAGTTTCAAAGTCCAAAAAGCGCAAGGAGATACAAAAAGCGCAGCTGAGAATCCCAAGGAATGCATGGCTTTTGGTGACGATGCCCCGCCCCATGGGCGCAAGCGTTGCCAGATGATGAAGGTCATCCGCCTTGTCGAAACCCCAAACCTGGCATCGGTGTTCCCAGCGCCGGATGCCGGACAGGAACCGTGTGGCTGCGATCAAAATCTGGTAACAAGTGATGCAGTGATGCCAACCAAGCGTCAAGGGTCAATTTCACCAATAAACAGGAAGACCAGATACAATTGCGGGGTGGTTCAGCAACATATCCCACATGTATGGCAGCCCACTCGATCTCGGTATTTTTTAAGACAAAGGAAAAAATATCTTCAGCCACTGCCTTCCTTGAGGCTGTTGTTGTGCAGCCACACTTTCTGGAGACTCGAGAGACCAGCAAAGAGTCCATCGGGAAGCACACTGATATTGTTGTGATCCAGCCCCACTTCCTGGAGCCTCGAGAGACCAGCAAAGAGTCCTTCGGGAAGTGCACCGAGCTGGTTGTTGTCCAGCCACACCTTCTGTAGCTTCGACAGACCAGCAAAGAGTCCTTCGGGAAGTGCACTGAGTTGGTTGTTGTGCAGCCCCAACACTTGGAGCCTCGAGAGACCAGCAAAGAGTCCTTTGGGAAGTGCACTGATGTTGTTGTGATTCAGCGACACTGCCTGGAGACTCGAGAGACCAGCAAAGAGTCCTTCGGGAAGTGCACTGAGCTGGTTGTTGCTCAGCGCCAAAATTTGAAGACTCGAGAGACCAGCAAAGAGTCCTTCGGGAAGTGCACTGAGCTGGTTGTTGCTCAGCGCCAAAATTTGAAGACTCGAGCGACCAGCAAACAGTCCTTCGGGAAGTGCACTGAGGCTGTTGTTGTGCAGCGCCAACACTTGGAGCCTCGAGAGACCAGCAAAGAGTCCTTCGGGAAGTGCACTGAGCTGGTTGTTGTGCAGCAACACATTCTGGAGCCTCAACAGACCAGCAAAGAGTCCTTCGGGAAGTGCTCTGAGCTGGTTGTTGGGCAGCAACACATTCTGGAGCCTCGAGAGACCAGCAAAGAGTCCTTCGGGAAGTGCTCTGAGCTGGTTGTTGTGCAGCAACACATTCTGGAGCCTCGAGAGACCAGCAAAGAGTCCTTCGGGAAGTGCACTGAGATGGTTGGAATTGAGCCACACTGTCTGGAGCCTCGAGAGACCAGCAAAGAGTCCTTCGGGAAGTGCACATGCATTTTTTGCCAAAACAATTTTAAGAAGTCAAAACGGCATTTGTTTATATGTTTCAATATGCGTCGCACTGAGAAGGTGCACAGTCCTTCAGGAAGTTCTCGCAGGCTGTTGTGACGGAGGTCCAGGAATCGCAAGTTTGTCGCTCCAACGAACGTGTCTCGGTCAACTTTGGTGATGTTGTTGCCACTGATGTCAAAAAAAATCAAGTGCGGATTTCCTTCAAATAGTCGGGGCGGCAAACACCTGATCAAGTTTCCAGCTTCCAACTCGTAAGCTGTCTGTGTTTCATTGTCCCAGCCTGGCTTGCTTCCAAGCAGAAGGTTCTCAAGGGATGGCAGATGGGATAAATGGTCTCCTGAGATGTTGTGGAGTTCGTTCCCATGGAGGGAGAGCACTTCCAGCTGATCCAATCCATAGAAAGAGTCCCTGGCCAGCATGCTGAGTTTTGACCGGCTGATATCCAATATCTGTAAGCAAGGGAGATGCTCAAAGCTTCTTGGTTTCAAGCTCGTTATGGAATTGTTTGCTAGGGACAACCGCGACAGGCGGCAACCCAAAGGTTTGAATGCCTGTGGCTCAATGCTGGTGACACCAGCAATGACAAGCTGCTCTTGCTGCAGTTGCGCTGCCAAGCTGCAGCTTTGAAGTCGTCCAGCGGAACACCTGCAAGGGAAGCACGTGAAGTCTCCTCTGTGCCCTGGATAAACATCCTGACAGATCAGCAAGTAGACAAGCAACGCCGTCAAACATGGTGAGTAGATGTACTTCAGGCGTCTCACCCATGGACATCTCACATGGGCCCAGACAACCTTCGGGCGGACATCTCTCGCGGCTTCCAACTCAGGCGTTTGCCCTCTCTGAACAGCGCGACAAGCGCAGCACACGTGAGCAATGCTCACATAGACTGCCATGTATTGGAGGAACTCTGAAGGGAAAGCGAACTTGGGACTGATACCTGATGCAATCTGAGACAATCCAAGTCATGAAACGTTTTGCAACACCCTAAACCATGACCAGCCACCAGAAGGACCTGATAGCGAATGATAGCAGCACCAAATGCGTGGCAAGGTGCTGTTGCTAAAGCCCAGCTGCGAGCGCTCTCCAAAATTACCCCAAACAGACACGTTCACGTGCAACTCGGTCGTCCCGATCACAACCATCACCAAGTAGGTCAAAACATATCCCAGATCAAAGAAGACGTCCAGCATCGCACAGGTGTAGCGACACCGCATACTCTCCGGGAAAATGAAGAGCATGTTGGGGTAGATGCTGTTGCAAAACAGTAGCGCCCAAAACAACCAGAATGTTACCTTCAGGGCTGAGCCATCCACCTGATTAACCGTTTAACATGGTTGAACCATGCGTTTGTTGCATATTTCATCCAACTCCCTGCCTTCAAAGATTCTGCAACTGAGAGCCTTTGTTGTTCTGCAAAGAGTGCAATGCCACCGAGCAAATGAAGCTTCCCAAACGCCTGAAGCAAAATGGTCAGGAGCTGTAGCAAAGCCACTTTGAACATGTAGTAGGTGCCTTCAACTCCAAAATAGCGGTCATAGACAATTTGTGACAGCTGTCTGCTCTTCCGTTTTTGAGCTGTCGGAGCAGAAAAGCAAAGCAAATCGCGTGCGAAAACCACTGCAAGAACTGCATAAGGCCCTGATAAGCACAAGGCATCCCACCATGACCCGTCAAAGCGTTCTCCAAACGCGACTTTGACAAAGCGATGCTGTCCCAGTTGATCTATGCTTTCGTGCAAGCTGGAAGGGCCATACCGAAAGAGGTATTGACATGTGAAATAAGCTGCCGTGATCATAGCAATGAAACGGGCCAGTAACAGAAGCACCGGAAGAAGAGCAGCCAAAATCTGTGAGCCGCGAGGCAAACTCGGTATCAGGTCTCCAGAACTTGAACCCTTGGCATTTGGACCGTCACGTTGCAGCCACCTTCGAGGCTTTGCATCCTCCAAGAGGCCAAAAGCATCCGCCAAAAGGCAAAGTTCGCTGAGGTTACTCTGCAGCCTTGTTAAGGAGGCAACACAAAGAACGACAGTGGCCAAATAGCCTGAGCTTCGCAACGCTTCAGCAACGATTACTAGATGTGTAAGCTAGAGCAAGTTAGGTTGCAAATGAATCAACATACATATGTATCATCGGTTTCAACATATTTATCCACTTAAGAATGAAGGGAAACGGTCCTGCTTTGAATGGCCTGCAAATTCATCAAATGCCGTGAATGACATGCCAAGATATGCCAGCTGGCCGTTCATGGACATCACGATCTTGCTGCATCTCCGCTCCTCTTCTTGGGCAAATCCATCCCACAGTGCCACGATCTTCCACGGTTCTTCTTCGCTTTGAAATCTTTTGCTCAGCGCAAGCCACACCAGTTGAACTTGCTGGAGGGATTCACAATGGATTTCACAAGAAAGAACATCATGGTCTCCTGGAAATGTGAATGGAGCATGTCCAAATCACAGAGCAACTCTGAACAGATCTGAACAGATCTGAACAAAACACAACTTGACTTCAAGGATCTTCAAGGCTTTTGACTCGTGGCCGTGGCGTCCTTGACTCGTTAGGTCCGCGAGGCGCTTGATCTTTGCATGTGCTGTTGCATTCGTCACTTCACCTTCGTCCAGGGCTCGGCGCAGAGCATTCCTGAGGCAATCCCGAGCTACAACACCTATGAAAAGCGAAGGATCTGCATGGTCAAGGGGACTGGATCTGATGATTATGTCCACTGCCTACAGATGGGGCACTAATTATGCACTGATTATGCACTGATTATGCTTATCACTGCAATTTGCGACTGCAGTGGGTCAAAGAGAAGAGATAGTGACCGATAGTCACTGTCGTGCTGCCGATTATGTACTTTTGAGGCTGCAACTTGAAAGAACCAAGTCTGAATGGTCACCCAAACTTCTTGTCCTAGCGTCTGAAAGCTAAGAAAGTGGATCCGTGCCTGACGGAAGTTGCTTGTCCTTGGCTCACATGGGGTCGCTTGCCAAGACCTACATGCAGACCGCTATCAGCTCAACATGCACTTTCTTCGCGAAAACAATCAAATACAAAAAATGGGGAAAAATTGAAATGCGTGAAATATGTTGAAACTGTTTTGAAATTTGTTTTCACAGCGTCAAATCCGTGTCGCTTTGTCGCAAATCTGTGTTCGGGAAGTCATCAGCGGAACTTCCAAAGACCAGAGAGAGGTGCGACAAGTTCGCAGGACGAATCGCCTCCAGGGCTCAGTTTTTCCAAATTTCGGACACAGAAAAACTATAAAACTATGGATTGAGTGGATTATTTGGATAATTTGAAACTATAAACGAAATTTTCGGACAAAGAGTTACTCATAGTTACTTCTTATGCGTTGCTGGAAAGGTTTGTCCGATGCACTGCAGATCACTGCAGTACCCTCTGGTAATCTGGCAATGGGTAAGCGGAAACAGCCGATTTCTGGATGGTTTTCCATGGTTTTCCGGTACCCCCCCATTTCCATCCATTTCACATGTATTTCACATGTTTGCCATAGGTTTGATGGGGTGCCTGTGAGCAAATGGCTTCAGAAGCCAACGACAGTTCCAGAGTCGCTCGGTGCATCCGATCGAATCGCAGCAGAGCATAAGATACAGATGCGAAGAGCAGCGAGATCAACACGACACAAATTGAGGTGGCCGACCCCACCAATCGATCAAGGCTCATCCAGAGCACAGGATACCTACAGCTATCAGCTATGGTCATGTGCAGCACCATGTGAAAACATGTTACAACATACATGGGGTAATGAAATGTGACCGGCCATTGGCACAGCATGGTTCAAGTGCGAGCTGCAAAGAGATGACAATCAAGGCCAGCAAGGCCCTCGATTCGATATCAGCCGTGGCTTGTACAAAGAAAATCATCAGCAGCTCTGCATATTGAAAAACCTCAGAGCAGCGCAATGCCAGCAGAGTCGAAGCTGTTTGTCTGGGGGTGATTTGAGCCTATGGGTCTATGGGTCACAACCTCAACAATGTTGCAGAGCATGTTGCAGACATGTGGTCCAGTGGTTACATAGTTTCTATTCTCAACTCTTTCAAAACTAGAATGTTGCATCACGACATATGCAAACCATGACAGCAAATCTGTCTGTATCCATGGCACGAGATGACATCTGGAGAACGCATTGTGGTAAAATCGGGCAAGTCGATGAGCATCGCAATATCCATGAGAATTTCCGTGGAACTTCGTGCAGCAATGGCAAGGGAACGGATCCTGAAGCAGGGGAGGCCGGGGAGGCCGGAAAAAAAAAACAGGTGCAGCCCGGCTGCGAACGGTTGCACAACGTCTGGCGAACACACCCTCAACCCCCAAACCCCCAGAGTGAAATGGGAACCCTTGCTACGGCTACGCATTCGGGAAGAACCTTCGATGGCCTGCCTTTGGTTCACGTGGGAAAATTTATGAAAACATGGTACAACTGGTACAACCATGTTTGGCCAAAGACATCCAAAGATATTTTGCCTGCAAATACTCTCTTGAACTCTTGGAGCTATGCAAACTTGGAGCTATGCATTCCTGGGGTTCCCTGGGTCGAGGTTCGATTTGTGACTCTGGAATCTCGGCCAGCGAAGCTGCGCTTGGCGTGGGTGAACTGGGTGAACCTCTGCGAACTGTCTGCAGTTCATGTCTACATGTGGTCACTGCAATGAACCTCTGGCAATTTGTTGATACCTGTCGAATTTCTGTCTGGCTCGAAGGTGGCAAGTCTGACTTGTAAACGGCGCCCGCCTATCTCAAGGTGGCTTTGTGAACGACCCACCTGTGCAAATCAAAATGAACATCGCATCGATCAACAGCCACCAAATGAGTCCAAATCATCAATGGAGCCTTCGAAATATGCCGCTGGAACGAACGAAACAATTATGAAACCATATGGTTCCATTACATAATGTGGCACGAACATGAGAAGGGGGGAACGAAAACCAGCATCCCATCTACCCCTATTTTCCCCCAAAGATTTTTCACCCACAGACTTTTCACCTATATACTTTTCACCCACAGACTTTTCACCCAGAGTCTTTCACCCATATACTTCTCACCCGTATACTTTTCACCCAGGGACTCTTCACCCCAAAGACTTTTCACCCACAGGTTTTTCACCCATATACTTTTCACCCAAGACTGTTCAACCATATACTCTTCACCCACGGACTTTCACCCATAATTTTTTCGCCCACAGACTTTTCACCCAGACTTTGCACCCTCAGACTTTTCACCCATACCCGTCTCACCCACATACTTTTCACCTACAGACTTTTCACCCGCAGACTTTTCACCCACAGTTTTTCACCCATATACTTCTCACCCATACACTTTTCACCCGTAGACTTTTCACGCAGAGACTCTTCACTAACTTGAGAGGGGGGGACGAAAGGTAGGTGGGGGCAAATACAGGAGGGACAGGAAGAGAGAGAGAAATTGGACGAGGAGAAGAATAACAAGAAGAATAATATCACGGTCAGTATTACAAGAACTAATGCAAGATCGAGGTGCTGAGTTTGCTGACAAGATACATGCACGAGATGAGGCTAAAGTGCTTCAACCGATGGATGCTCGGTTGAGGCACTTTGTGTGTAGAGGTGTAATCCCTCAAGGATGCAACGCTCATGCTAAAGGAATGCGGCATGTGGTGGCGAGTATATAGAGTCGATGGGGACTGCAAAGCAGCGAAAGATATACAGATATCCAATATCACCAATCTGCAATGACATGCGCTGATTCCATTTTTTTCTGCGGACCAGGGGGGATCGAATGTGGAGATTCCTTACTTTCAGCTCTCAATTTCCGGGAAAGGGCCAACCACCTCCCCCAGTACTAAACTAGTACTAAAGTACATAGAACTCAGGTAGCCTAGGCTACCTTTCGTGATATACATTTTACATTCAGACTTTTCCCCGATATACTTTTCACCCACAGACTTTTCACCCACAGACTCTTCACCCACCGTCTTTCACCCATTATATTTCTCACCCATATACTTTTCACCCAAGGCTGTTCAACCATATGCTTTTCACCCACGGACTTTCACCCATAATTTTTTCATCCACAGACTTATCAACCGCAGACTTTTCACCCACAGACTTTTTAGCCACGGACTTTTCACAGGCGAGGGGTTCACTTTGGGCACAAATTCGAGCTCACTTTGGGCATAATTTTTTGAGGTTCACTTTGGGCAAAAAATTTGGCTCACTTTGGGCATAGAATGTTTCATTTTGGGCATAAATGGGTTCACTTTGGGCAAAAATGGGTTCACTTTGGGCATAAATGGGACCACTTTGGGCATAAAAAGCAGAGCCACGACACCTTTAGGGTTTATATGTTGTTGCACTTAATGTAAGAAGTGCCACGACACCTTTAGGGTTCATATATTGTTACACTTGCAACAAGAGCCACGACACCTTTAGGGTTTATATGTTGTTGCACTAATGTAAAAAGAGCCACAACACCTTTAGGGTTTATATGTTGTGGCACTTAATTCCAGAAGAGGCACGACACCTTTAGGTTTTTTGTTGTTACACTTAATGTAAAAGAGCCACGACACGTTTAGGGCTTGTATGTTGTGGCGCTTAGTGCAAGAAGAGCCCGACACCTTTAGGGTGAGACACGACACCTTTAGGGTTTATATGTTGTTGCACTTAATGTAAGAAGAGCCAAGACACCTTTGGGGTTCATATATTGTTACACTTGCAACAAGAGCCACGACACCTTTAGGGTTTGTATGCTGTTACACTTGTATTTCGGACTGGTGACTTAGGACTTAGGCCACCATAGTGACATAGGATTTTGTGCACCAAGTCCTAAGTCACTGGTGTTCTTACCAGGTGATTTGTGTGTGTACCAAGTCCTAAGTCTTGGGGTTGTGATTGGATCCAAGCACTTTTCACGTTTTAAAAAAAAAACTTCTCTTAATAAGTCATCAGAATCTACATACTTACATTACATTACAGTACAGTACATTACATCACTACAATACAGTAAAGTACAGTACATTACATTACACTACAGTACATTACATTACATTACAGCACATTACAGTACATTATATTGCATACATGCAAGGGACTTGGTGCACAAAATCGTATGTCACTAGAGGGGCACAAGTCCTAAGTCATCAGAACCTACATACTTACAGAACATTACAGTACAGTACAGTACATTACACTACAGTACATTACATTGCATTACAGCACATTACAGTACATTATATTACATACATGCACAGGACTTGGTACACAATATCGTATGTCACTAGAGGGGCACAAGTCCTAAGTCACCAGAACCTACATACTTACAGAACATTACAGTACAGTATAAACAGTACATTACACTACAGTACATTACATTACATTACAGTAAAGTGCAGTACATTACATTACACTACAGTACATTACATTACAGTACAGTACATTACAGTACGTACATGCAAAGGACTTGGAAATCGTCTGTCACCAGAGGGGCACAAGTCCTAAGTCATCAGAACATACATACATATATTACATTACATTACAATACAGTACATTACATCCCAATACATTTTTCAATATTTTTTAATTTATTTAATTGCTTTAAAATACTGTCTGTATATAAATCGAAGGAAAAAAATAAAATCACATATTTTTTTTGAAATATTTTTTTGAAGATGGGCACAAGTCCTAAGTCATCATTTTTTCAACGATTGGCTCGAATCCTAAGTCATCATTTTTCCCCGTTTTGTTTCCCCGTTGTTAGAAAAAATGATGACTTAGGACTTGTGCCCATCTTCAAAAAAATATTTAAAAAAATATGTGATTTTATTTTTTCCTTCGATTTATATACAGACAGTATTTTAAAGCAATTAAATAAATTAAAAAATATTGAAAAATTTAATGTATTGGGATGTAATGTACTGTATTGTAATGTAATATATGTATGTATGTTCTGATGACTTAGGACTTGTGCCCCTCTGGTGACAGACGATTTCCAAGTCCTTTGCATGTACGTACTGTAATGTACTGTACTGTAATGTAGTGTATTGTAGTGTGATGTAATGTACTGCACTTTACTGTAAGGTAATGTAATGTACTGTACTGTAATGTACTGCACTGTACTGTAATGTACTGTAAGTATGTAGGTCCTGATGACTTAGGACTTGTGCCCCTTTGGTGACATACGATTTTGTGCACCAAGTCCTATGCATGTATGTAGTGTAATGTACTGTACTGTAATGTAATGTAATGCAGTGTAGTGTAATGTACTGTACTGTAATGTACTGTAAGTATGTAGGTCCTGATGACTTAGGACTTTTGCCCCTCTAGTGACATACGATTTTGTGCACCAAGTCCTATGCATGTATGTACTGGAATGTACTGTAATGTAATGTAATGTACTGTAGTGTTAGTGTAATGTAATGTAATGTACTGTACGGTACTGTAAGTATGTGGGTTCAAGCCAAATAGCTGCAGCGCACGAGCGTGATGACTTAGGATCATCTTAATATATTTCTGCTAGTTCATTCCTATGTCATCATGGTTTTACGAGTGGTCCATGCCGCACTAAAAAAAATCAAACATAGTTTCTAATCTCATCGGACACCTGATGAGTTGGGACTTGTCCAGGGGGGGTCCGACGCATGATGAGATAGGATTTGGCCACACCGGGGTATCTTTCACAGTCCTAAGTCGCTCGCTTGAAATATAATGTAAGAAGAGCCATGGAACTTTTAGGGCTTTTATGTTGTTGCACTTAATGTATGAAGAGACACGACACCTTTAGGTTTAATCCAGTAGTACCGCACAAGGCGGTGGCGGAAGTTTCAAAAATGGGAAACCTATAGGAGAGATTGGTTGTTGTGAATCAGGGATGGCAGAGCGAATCCACTGATGGACCGAAAGGTGCTTGAGGTCTCCTCTCTTTCTCTCTCTCTCTCTTTCATCTAATTACCTATCTATCCATCTATCCATCTATCCATCTATCCATCTATCCATCTATCCATCTATCCATCTATCCATCTATCCATCTATCCATCTCTCTCTCTCTCTCTCTCTCTCGCTTTCATCTGTCTATCTGTCTAGCGGTCTACCTGTCTATCTATCTATCTATCTATCTGTCTATCTATCTATCTATCTATCTGTCTGTCTATCTGTCTACCTGTCTATCAGTGTCATTCAGTGCAATGTAGTGTAGTGTAATGTGGTGTAGTGTAGTGGAGTGTAGTGGAATGTAGTGTAGTGTAGTGTAATATAGCGAAGTGTAGTGGAAGGTAGTGTAGTGTAATGTAGTGTAGTGTAGTGGAGTGTAGTGTAGTGTAATGTAGTGTAGTGTAGTGGAGTGTAGTGGAGTGTAGTGGAGTGTAGTGGAGTGTAGTTGTAGTTGTAGTGTTGTGTAATGTAGTGGAGTGTAGTGGAGTGTAATGTAGTGGAGTGTAGTGTAGTGTAATGTAGTGCAGTGTAGTGAAGCGAAGCGACATCTGAACCTCCAAAAGTGGTCCGAACCCCTGGTGCTTTTAACATGTTGACTTCGAAATGTGCTTCGCGCCACAACGGCGTGCACTTTTTCGACATCCGAACCTCCAAAAGTGGCGCGAACATGTGGTGTTTTGTACATTTTGACTTGGAAATGTGCTTCGCGCCACAACGGCGTGCACTTTTTGGACATCTCAACTTCCAAAAGTGGTCTGAGAATGGTGTGCTTTGTACATTTTGACTTGGAACTATGCTTCGCGCCACAACGGCGTGCACTTTTTCGACATCGCAACTTCCAAAAGTGGTCCGACGCTGGTGTGTTTTGTGCTTCGCGCCACAACGGCGTGCACTTTTTCGACATCTCAACTTCCAAAAGTGGTCCGAACCCCTGGTGCTTTTAACATTTTGACTTCGAAATGTGCTTCGCGCCACAACGGCGTGCAACTTTTCATCTCTCATCTCCCCAGAAATGTCTCCGCACCCGCCGCTTTAGCGAGCCTACTTTTCAACCCTCCGGAGCCACAAAACCACGAAAAAACACAGTGGTTCGCGACTTTCCTACCTTTTCGCGCACCTGCATCTTCTTTCTTCTGATCTTTTCTTTTCTGACTCTTCTCCCTGCTGACTGCTTTTTCATCTCTCCATATTGTCGGAAGTTTGACTTCCAAATTTCCTTCGAATATACTTTTCACCCAGACACTCTTCACCCAGAGACTCTTCTTCCACAGGCTTTTCAAACTTTTCACCCAGAGACTCTTGACCAATATACGTTCTTTTTACCTTCAAACTTTTCACCCTTATACTTTTCACCCAGGGACTTTCACCAACACATTTTTCGCCCACAACTTTTTGACCCACGCTCTTTTCACCCACACACTTTGCACCCTCAGACTTTTCAGCCATACCCGTTTCACCTATATACTTTTGACCCACGGGCTTTTCACCCACAGACTTTTCACCCACAGACTTTTCACCCGCAGACTTTCGCCCATACACTTTTCGCATCTTTTCGCCCACAGGCTTTTCACCCACAGACTTTGCACCCTCAGAGTTTTCACCCATTTCCGTTTCACCCACATACTTTTGACCCATGGACCAGGAAAACAACCGGACCTAGGGGGAATCAATACCCACCGTCGCTGTTTTGCCGCATGGTATATTACCCTGCAAAACCATACCTTTCGCACGCCTAAAACACCATCTATTCTATATACGACGTTTTCGGCAACTTGAAGCAGCTACCTCCCCCCACACCCCCTATTCTCACTTCGTTCGGGAATAACAACTAGCCAGCTTCCCAGCTGGCTTCCGTAATTTAAGCAATCACATTACCATCAATGTGGCAATTACTTGGCACATTACGTGGCACATTACGTGGCACATTACGTTGCATCTTGCATTGCGAGCCGGTGCGACGTGGCTTGACTGCGTTCCATGCCTTGAGCTTCCCAAGGCAGAGATTCAGCGTCCAGGTGTTTGTATCCTGGGAATCAGCACAAGGTGCGGCACAAGTTGTATTGCAAGTTGCAACTTTGCACCAGGCTGGCATTGAATGGAAGATTCTTATGTTGTTAAAAGTGCCATACCATTGAATCTGCCATTTCTGGGCACACCGTGCTTCAACGCGGTGGTGTTTTGAACCAGATTGAATTTCTGAAACCGTCCTCGATGTGAACCCACATGTAAGGCCGGCGTCGCAGGCACTGCTTCAGCTGCCGGGTGGCAGCAAACCTTGAGCAAGTTCGGTTTGTCATGTCAATTCATTGAAGCCAATCGCATTTTGAATGACATGTTTTCTGTCACGTGGAACAATATGGGAACAATGACAACTTCTCATGGGGTCATCTCCATTTTTTCGAATATGATAAACGTCTTTGGGTAAAGCTAAACCACACCAAGCTTCAATGCTGTCTTGGATTCGCGTGGTACGCTGGGACAGCCGTTCACATACAAGACCAGCTCCTCCAAAAGCAAACAGCTCTCGAAATTCCATGGAAACAATAAATTAGAAGGATGTGCGGTGGTCACATGGTGAGAAAACAAGTCTCAACCTACCCTGCAAGCTCCTCCAAACGAAGCTTCAACAATGCCTTGTTGCTGACGCCCAACTCGATGTCCTCTAAGTCTGGAAGGTCTGACAGCCACAGCTCCAAACGTCTCAAGGAAGGGCAAAGCAAAGCAGACAAACCAGAAATGCTTCTTAAAGATCCTGCGAAGCGAATCACTAGGGTCTGAAGAGCGTTTCCGAAGGAAGCACCCGCTAGATCATCCAAACGCTCCAAACCAGTGTAGGCAAGATCGAGCCGTAAACTTTGCAGTTTGGCTGGCAGGTTGTCGATGAGAATCCGCAAGTCCGGGTCTCGGAAATTGTGGCAACCTGTCAGTGACACTTGGATGCTCCTTCTTTCTGCATCTGACCGTAGTGCTTGCCACAGGGTTGATGGGGCTTGTTGTCCGTTCCGATATGACTGCTGGATGCTGGTCAGTGCAAAGTGGGAGGCTAAAGCTTTGTTGACGGCATCATAGCGGGGGTGCTGCGTTGGAAAAGGCGTGTCCAACGCCCATGTCCTGGCTCGCGGACATCGCACGGAGTTCAAAATCCGTGTCTTGTCCTCTTCTTTGGACGCTTGTGCTGTAGCAATGTCAACGCTGAGGCCTTTCTGAAGCAAATCCATTGGAAAGGATTGCTCACGGCGCGACTTGCAGAGCAAGCCCAAGATGGGGAGAACCCGGGTCTCAGCACCGACTAAGCCATCAGTGATGACATGGGCAACATGGCCAAGATCTGTGGCAGCAACATCAAGTAGCAAAGAGTTGGTGTCCCGTTCCTCCACCTCATGTCACATTTAGCCACAACATGTGAAGATTGAGACCTGAGATTTTTGGGAAGTTCCAAGAATTTCACAATCAAACTAACTCACAGCTCAATATGCTCAATGAGACAAACTGAGCGCCAGGCTGCGATCGACTCCTCAAAGCAACACCAAATCCTCGTAAATGGTGTCGTTGTTGTTGTTGTAAGCGGACGTCAACCTGCTCCTCACCGAAGTGAAGTAGTTAAGACGCCATAGTATGCCATCTGCGAGAATCAAGTTCCCATACTTCTCCAAGCAAAACTCAAAAGAAGCGAAACCTGCCTGAAATAAAAAAAGAAGTAAACACAGTGCGCCAGCTAGCATTCCGCATGGAATGTTTGTTGATCAAGTACGACTTGCCAAAAAGGTAAAGTCCGTAGCCTCTGCAGACGCCAAACTGCTGCAGCCCAAGCCACGGCTCGCTGATGTCGCTGCACAGCCGCAGCGATCATGGAGCGTGAGTCACGCAACACCTCACCTGCCTGAGCATCGGCTGTCGCATTGAGAACGCGGCAGAGATGAACATCAATCCAACCATCTGGTGGTGTCCAGTCAGGCACCTTGTTGTGAGAAGGGATCCAAGTGCAAACAGTGCCCTGAATCAATAAGCCGCTGATCCGCTGCCAGAAAAGCGGCAAGTCACCCTCCCAACGGCCAGTGCTAATGCCTCGCTGAAGCCGCCGCACCAAAGCCTGATTGTCAATCAAGAGCATCACCGGTCTGTTAGCTGCAGAAGAGGCTAAACAAGCTTGCAGAAGAGCAGCACGCTCACCTGCAGCAGGTGTTTGCTCAAAACCAGTCACGGCACCTTGAACAGTGGTGCCTGAAAGTGTCGAAACCGCCCAGCTAGCTCTTTGCCATCGATCACAGGAAGTAGCTATGATACAACTGCCGTCCAAACCCAAGGTGGGTCGCTGAAGAGAATCGAATTGCTGAATAAAAGTAACCAAAGCAGGATCTGCAACCATGTTGGAAAAAGGCAACACAGGAGGAGCATCCACAAGTGGAACCAGCAAACGACGTTCAGTAGCGCTCCTGAACTCACCATCCCATGGCTGCGCTTGGCAGTGAAAAGTGAGATGTTCTCGATCAGGAGACCGCAATCCACATTCACAACTCAAAGCAGAACCAAAGCGCTCTGTGACCCTGCCATCCACTGCAGCACCAGTCAAAACCCTGCGACTGTAGTAATCCATGCCTAAAGCTGCATTTGCCTGAAAAAGGAAAACCGGCTCCTTGCCGTTTGGCCATCGACCATCCGTTTTGGTGTCTTTAGTCCACAAACCAACGAGCCATGAATGGATAGCGGCCTTTTGCAAGCTTTTCAAAGACATCTCCCCAGGTTTCAAAATCCCAGCAGGCGTGTGCCACAGGCCATCGTCAAGTCGCCATTTCCAATCTTTGAGTACTGCTTTCCAGCGAGGAGCAGGCGAGGTAGCTGCAGGCAACCCTTGGGCACGGCGGCATTGCCGATTCCATTCCGCCCGTGCGGCGGTGAACTGGAGCGCAAACATCGGATGTAGTCTTGCAGAACCCAAAGAATTCCAAAAGAGCAGCCGGCTCCTACCTGGAGGAGCCCTTCGACCCCAAAGTGCAGTTTCGATCATAGATGTCCATGTTCGAATGGTTCTTGCACTGAAGTGATGGAAAGCACCGGACCAAGCAAATAAAGATATCACCAACTTATGCACCAATGCAATGCGAGTGCCTAAGTGCTGTGCTGCCAAACGAATTTTGAGACACCGTCGCTGAATGTTGTCACTGACAATATCCGCATCAACACAAGAACTGGGGCGTGACAAATTGTATTGAATGCCAAGCAGTGTGAAAGTATCCGCAGGTACACCTACTAAATCTTTCTTCTTGCGCGCCTTGGCAACCAGATGCGGTTTGGTGGCGAAGCTAGCCAATTTGTCAGGGTGAAGTTCGAAGCCGAGAATAGCATCGGCTTGCGCTCCCGCAGTCATGGCGTTGATGACCACTTCAAAACTTTGACAACCTTGTTTCCACATGGTGCGATCGTCCAAATAAATAGCCAAAGAAATCCTTGGTTCCTGCCGTTTGACAAACCTCACCCAAAACAGCAACACCCCACGGCATAGCTTCATTGCTTTGTAAAATGAAGTTTTGCGCGGGTTGTTGGAAATTGCTTCCTCCAATGCATGCTGGTTGTTCGCGTACGCACATACCCAATATGCTGGAACGCGGAGTTCTCGAAGGGTTGAGTGCCGGCGGAGGCAGGTGAGAAAGAGGTGTATGGGTTCAAGCCATGCATGCGAGACAAACCACAAAGGTCTCTGGGCCTCAGGACTATCTGCCACAAGCCTCAGGATTTGTCACAGCACTGTTTTGCCTCCAAAAAACGAAGTTTACCTATGTAAACATATACTACTTGATCATCACTTTCCTGTTTAACGGGCCGTTTCTCTATGTATCCATACGTATCCCATTTTTTGGACACGCCCAAAATGAAGAGTTCACCGTTTGAACCCACAGGCACCAACTGATGTTCGAATACATTTCTTCTCGCGTAGCACACTTGCTTGAAAATAAGCTCGGGTGCTACCCCCAACAGCTTGGAAGTTTCTGCTTTGTTTCATTTTTTCACAGCGCCGTTTCAGAACGGAACATCACCCGCTGCAAGCTGGGGTATTAAAAAGAGGCTGCTTCCAGATTTCAGGCTAGAAAACGCCACCATGAGACCTTGCATCGTTGTCATCAAACAAGTGAACTCATACATAGGCAGTCATGTTGGACTGCACGCTGTTACTAACTCTAGTAGTCATGTGACTTTCATGATGACATCATGCGCACATTGTCATACAATCATACACATACAAGCATGCAATGGTGCTGCACAATGGTAAAAGAACCAGGGCCAGGAACCTCAACAGGTATCTGCACAGGAACCCTCCAGAAGCTGACCAGGTGTCTGCACCGGAACCTTCCGGAACCGCAACAGGTATCTGCAGCGGAAACCTCCGGGACCTCACAAAGTATCTACATTGGAACCTTCCGGAGCCTCACCAGGTATCTCAACCAACATGAATTGATACAAAGGCAATCATGTTGGATGACACGCTGCTACTAACTGTATATGATCTTGTGCTTGTCATCATGACATCATGTGCACATTGTCAAACCATCATACACATACAATCATACAGATACAAAGCATACACATACAACCATGCAATGATGCCGCACACAGGTACGTGACGCATTCCCATGAGAAGTAGTACAAACACATAAGGTGCAAGTGTTCACTTTGCACACTTTTGTGTTCACCATTCGGTCCTGCTGTTGACAAGATTGTTCATGAATCTGCGGCAAGCAACCAACATGAACTCATACACACGCAATCATTGTCGATTAAACGTTCTTACTAGTTGTATATGGTCTTGTGATCGTCATGACAACATCATACGCACATTGTCATACAATCGTACACATACAATCATACAGATACAATCATACACATACAACCATGCAATGGTGCTGCACGCAGGTAAATGAATCAGGGCCCTGGAAAGAATTATACACATACAATGTGCAAGTGCTCACGGTGTCTAATTACTTAGGTGTTGATGTGTTCATTCCATTCCCTTCCTGCAGGTAACAGAATTGCTTATTGGTCTTGGGCAAGCAACCAACATGAATTGATACAGATGCAATCATGTTGGATGACACGCTGTTACTAACTGTGTATGGTCTTGTGCTTGTCATCATGACATCATGTGCACATTGTCATACAATCATACACATACAATCTTACAGATACAAGCATACACATACAAGCCACATACAACCATGCAATGATGCCGCACACAGGTACGTGACGCATTCCCATGAGAAGTAGTACAAACACATAAGGTGCAAGTTTTCACTTTGCACACTTTTGTGTTCACCATTCGGTCCTGCTGTTGACAAGATTGTTTATGAATCTGCGGCAAGCAACCAGCATGAACTCATACACACGCAATCATTGTCGATTACACGTTTTTACTAGTTGTATATGGTCTTGTGATCGTCATGACAACATCATACGCACATTGTCATACAATCATACACATACAACCATACAGTCATACACATACAACCATGCAACGGTGCTGCACGCAGGTAAATGAATCAGGGCCCTGGAAAGAATTATACACATACAATGTGCAAGTGCTCACGGTGTCTACTTAGGTGTTGATGTGTTCATTCCATTCCATTCCTGCAGGTAACAGAATTGCTTATTGGTCTTGGGCAAGCAACCAACATGAATTGATACAGACGCAATCATGTTGGATGACACGCTGTTACTAACTGTATATGGTCTTATGATCGCCATCATGACATCAGGCGCACATTGTCATACAATCATACAGATACAAGCATACACATACAAGCGCGCACATACAATCATTCAATGATGTTGCACACAGGTGTGTGACGCATTCCCATGAGAAGTAGTATATGAAACATTCCTATGAAAAGCTGTACTGATCCCTGGTCTCTGCGCCTGCATCGGTGCAGTTCAGCGGATTGATTGTCGGATCCCTGGCCTCTGCGCCTTTCACCCGTGCAGTTTACCAGAGTGATGGTTGGATCCTTGGTCTTAGCAACTGCCACCCATGCGGTGACAGATCGCGAGTCAGGTTTTGCTTTTTTATCACTTCACTGCGCACATGCCACCTTTGTTGTCGCGTTTCTTTAACGTCGTTTTGCTTTACTTTACTGGTTTTCAGGCTGGTTCGTCTTAGGATTGTTCCCTTTTCCGTGCCATGTTGTCCTTCATACTTTTGCTTTGGTTTGCGCTGTGCGTGATTGAACCGTTTCTGATTTCACTTGTTGCTGTTTGCCGACACGTTTTGCGGATCAGTCTTCCCGCGTTTGTCCTTGCTTTTCTTTTCGCCCACAACGTCGTGATGTTTCAATATGACGCTTCAGGTTTTTGCGGTCATGTTGTGTTGAATGGTTCTCACGCTGGCTTGTCCTGAGACTGTTCCCTTTGCCTTGCCATGTTGTTTGTCATGCATTTGTTTTGGCGCGCGCTGCGCTTGATCGAACAGGTTATGCGTCGAATTCCGCGTTGTCAGTTGTTTTCCTTTGCCAACGTCTTTTGCGGATCTATATAGTTTTTGATACCCCCAAAAAATGACCTGGGGGGGTTGGCTGTCCCCATTTTGTAGAGCCAAATCTGACTTTTGGGGCCCAGACCTCTACAGAATGAGGAACCTGCCACAAATCTAGGGGTTTTCTCTACAAAATCAGGGTGCCCAACCCCTTTTTTTTGGTGCACGTTTGTGATTTTCACAACCACTGGCCTCTACAAGATGGGAAGCCTGGCATGAGCAAACATTTATGCAGAATTGCTACTTGGAAGAAAGAAAACCGTCAAAAATACAAAGTTCCATTTTGTAGAGGGATGATGTGAAAGAACCTTGGTCTCCCCGTCTCACCTGAAAACTTTGAATACAAAAATCCATTTTGTAAAGGCAATTTCTGTTCCACATTCCAGATTTTGTAAAATCAATATAATTTGTCAATATTTATGCTCATGAATGTTGACAAACCCCAAAACCTCTACAGAATGAGGAACCGACAGTTTCAGCCATCTACAACATGCATCAAAATGCTCCCACTACAATACAAAATCAGGAACCTGTCATTGCACACCCTTGCAGGCACTTAGGCTGTCCAAAAAAATGGTTTTGACGGACCTCTACAGAATGAGGAACCTGCCACAAATCTAGGGGTTTTCTCTACAAAATCAGGGCACCCAACCCCCTGTTTTTTGGTGCACTCTTATGATTTTCAGAAACACTGGCCCCTACAGAGTGGGGAACCTGGCATGAGCAAACATTTAAGCAGAATTGCTACTTGGAAGAAAGAAAACCGTCAAAAATACAAAGATCCATTTTGTAGAGGGATGATGTGAAAGAACCTTGGTCTCCCCGTCTCACCTGAAAACCCTGAAATGTACAAAAATCCATTTTGTAGAGACAATTCCTGTTCCACATTTCCAGGTTTTGTAAAATCAATATAGTTTGTATACATATATTTATGCTCATGAATGTTGACAAACCCCAAAACCTCTACAGAATGAGGAACCTACAGTTTCAGCCATCTACAACATGCATCAAAATGCTCCCACTACAAAATCAGGAACCTGTCATTGCACACCCTTGCAGGCACTTAGGCTGTCCAAAAAAATGGTTTTGACGGACCTCTACAGAATGAGGAACCTGCCACAAATCTAGGGGTTTTCTCTACAAAATCAGGGCACCCAACCCCCTGTTTTTTGGTGCACTCTTATGATTTTCAGAAACACTGGCCCCTACAGAGTGGGGAATCTGGCATGAGCAAACATTTAAGCAGAATTGCTACTTGGAAGAAAGAAAACCGTCAAAAATACAAAGGTCCATTTTGTAGAGGGATGATGTAAAAGAACCCTGGTCTCCCCGTCTCACCTGAAAACCCTGAAATGTACAAAAATCAATTTTGTAGAGGCAATTCCTGTTCAACATTTCCAGTTTTTGTAAAATCAATAAAATCTGATCCCCAAAAAAATGACCTGGGGGGTTGGGTGCCCCCATTTTGTAGAGCCAAATCTAACTTTTGGGGCCCCAGACCTCTACAGAATGAGGAACCTGCCACAAATGTAGCAAGGCATCTTCTCTACAAAATCAGGGTACCCAACCCCTTTTTTTGTTGCACGTTTGTGATTTTCACAACCACTGGCCTCTACAAAATGGGGAGCCTGGCATGAGCGCACATGTAAGCAGAATGGCTACTTCGAATGAAGAAAGCCCTCAAACAAGTCGAAAACACATGTTCCACCATTTTTCTCTACAAAGTGGGAAACCTGCAAAATCAATATAATGTGTATATTTGAATGTTGACAAACCCCAAAACCCCTACAGAATCAGGAACCTACAGTTTCAGCCAGCTACAAAAGGTCCCCTCTCCAAAATCAGGAACCTGCATTGAGCATATCCTTGCAGGCACTTAGGCTGTCCAAAAAAAGTGGTTTTGGCGAACCCCCGGGGGTCCTGATAATGGAGTGTGAATTTTTGGGGGTATAGTTGTTGCAATGATTGGTATTGGATGCC